TCAGCATCCAATGTTCGGTGACGAATGCTGTTGCTAATAATTCTGGGGAATCACCTACCGCTGAATTTCACTCCCCCTTAAATGGGTTTGTGAGGACGCTAAAACAGAACCAGCCGTAAGTAAAAATCCAGTTGTGTCCCCATTGGTTGAACTCTTCCGATCAACTTGATGTAGTGCCTACTTGTCGTCTACAAATGGTAATAGGGTGTCTGTATATCTCTTGGTAAATGCTTGTCCATCAGATCCCGTGCTTCGTTTGCTTCTTGTACAGTGTCCATCGTCCCTGGAGGAGAAAGCAAGAATGCTGAGAACCTTGTTGAGGACAATGTACCGAAATTAACGTTTGAATAACGATATGCATCTACTATACAGAAAAATAATGCAAAAAATGGAACATGTACGGTTATGAAAAAGTTTTTCACTTGCATTGCGGGACGCAGTATAAAAAATTGATGTGTCTGAGAGAAAAAATAAATACCACAAGCGAATAAAAATTGGGTGAATCGCATAACTTAGTTCTATGACATAAGTGTGGAGATATTCTGTGAATCTCACCTTTCGTCTGGAACGCGTTTTCTTTGAGGGCTCGATAGAAGGTTCGGTGGTTTTCGCCATGCTAGTGATTTCTTCGAGGACTGACGGATATTAGGTTGCTTGTATATTATATTGGGAATGCTCAGTTCTAGGCTCATGGAATTGCCTTCTAAGTAGGCCGGTTTCAGTCGATCGATTATAACAGAGCCTTCGCGGCCTTTTCTGTCTATGACAAAGAATTTATCCATACGTTTAATGACTTTATATGGTCCGCCGTATGGGGGCTCGAGAGGGCAACGCACAGGGTCACGACGAACAAAAACATGTGAAGAAGTTTTCAAACACGGGTGAACAAAGACGTCTATGGACTGTGGTCGAAGGGAGCAGGTTTAACTGAACGCATTGCGTTTGTAAGCCTGCTGACTTATGAAGCGTGATCTACCTCTGATGGGAAGCTCGAGGGAGAAACAAACTCACCTGGTAGTCGTAGTACTGCGCATATACTAGCTCAGCAGCAGTACAACCAGCATCAGTTTTCAAGGCGTTTCGTGTCCCTGGGAGGAATAACGGCAGTGATTCAGTCCAACGTGCATTGTTTGCAGCTGATAATCCAGCTTTCAACTGTCTGTGTAGACGTTCTACCATACCGTTAGCTTTTGGATGGCAGGCTGTTGTTCTAAAACGCATACAACCTATGACTTTAGTCGGGGCGAAGAATAAGCCGCTTTCGAATTGCCGCCCACGATCAGTTGTAATGGAGGATGGGTATCCAAAGTTTGCGACCCATCGTTCGATAAAGACGCGTGCGACTGTTTCAGAAGTTACATCTTTGAGGGGTACCACTTCCGGTCATTGTATGAAGCGGTCGATGCATGTTTAGGTATAGGTATATCCATGAGATTCTGTAGGAGGTCCAACCAAATTTACATGAATGTGGTCGAAACGAGCATCAGGGATAAGGAAGGTGTCAGAAGGGCTTCTGATGTGTCTTACTTCCCTTCACTTTTGGCAAGCTAAAAACGTGTGAGCCCATTCCCTCACTTCTTTATTAATGCCAAGCCAACAAAACCGACTAGTAATGAGCTTGACAGTAGTTTGAATACATGGGTGGGATAAGCCATGCAACGAATTGAAGAAGTTACGGCGACAACCTTTAGGCACGATTGAGCCGGGAGTGCTCGTAGAAATGTCACATAGAATAGTGTCTCTTTCAGTACCTAAGGCTTCTCGGCTAATTGCAGAGTTGTTTTCGATTACTCATGCTGAAGCTCATTATCGGCTTTCTAAATACCAGTCAGTTTCACGAGGTCAATATCATCTTTTTGGACAAGTGTGACAAGGCATCTGCAACAGTGTTGTTCACTCCGGATACATGGCGAATATTCGATGTAAACTGTGAAAAGTAGTCGAGTTGTCATGAACACTTGGTGGATGCTTATCAGAATTTGAATTCAAAGAGTACTTAGGGGTTTGTAGTCAGTGAAAATTATGAAACCACGGCCCTCCAATAAATGCCAAAAGTGGCGTATAGCACAGTACATTGCCAGAAGTTCTCTGCCGAATGTGTTGTACTCCGTTTCTGCTAACTGTAGGCATCTCGAGAAAAATGAGAGTGGTTGACACGCTCTTTTGCCTAGTTGTTGCAGAACTGCTCCAATCGCTGTTTCTACCGCATCAACTGAGATACTTAAAGGAGCGGCCGGATCCTGATGCATAAGTAGGGTGGCATCCACGATAGCTTTTTTAACCTGAGTGAAAGAATTTTGAGTGGATGGATAAAGTTCGATGGACTTGTTATTCCCTCGAAGAAGGTCTTTTTATGGCTGAATCAGAGAAACACAGTTGGGAATAAACCGTCGGTAATAAATTATCAAGCCGTTAAAAGTGCACAGGCTTTTCACTGTCTGTGGCTCCAGAAAGTTCAGAATCGCATCAACTTTACTAACCAGTCGGCGAATATCCTTGCGGTCAGTGGTGTGCCCCAGAAGTTCAAGTGAGTCAACGCCTATCTGACGCTTTTGAATATTAATCGTAACACCATGTAGACGTAACCTTTCGAATGCCGATTCCAAGTGTCTAAGGTGAGTTTCCATGTATGGACTGGCAATGGGGCAGTCACCTGAGTATGCATATACAAAGTCGAGACCACGAAATACTCCGTCAGTGAAAAGTTTTGAATGTTTGTGCTGCATTCCGGAGACCGAATAGCACACGTAGAATTTCAAAAAGTCCGAAAGGCGTATGGATAGCCGTTTTCAGATTTGATTATATGCCTCAGCCAGGTCTATTTTCTAAACAACAGATGTGACAGATAGTGTTGCCGCTCAGTCACATATATGAGGCAATGGATAGCAATCAGGGCTCGTCTTGGCGTTCACTCACAGGTTGTGTCTGGTGGATCGCCAACCGTCGCTACCCCTTTTGGTACCATATGAAGTGGAGATGTCCGTAGGCTGGTCAATGGCCGAATTATGCCAAGGGTCAGCGAATGATAGAATTCACTTCTAGGGAGTCGTAGTTTGTGAGGAGCAAGTCGTCGTGCTTTAGATGTCACGGTTTGTCCTGATATGGTGATGTTATCCATAACATTGCTGGTTACGCATGGTAGATCGTAAAACGGGCAATTAAGTTCCAGTTATTTATCAACAATCGGCTGGAAGGTTGGATCAAAGATTGCCTTCCTTCTAACGAGTGATAAGCTACGGCCTGCTTATGTGATGCCTTTAATAGACAGTCTAGTAGTACTGTCTATCAGTCGTTTTCGGCAGATATCTACGAATAAATCATGATGATTAAGTAGGTCTGTGCCAATGATGGGCATTATGGCGTCAGCGAATCGGAAAATTCACTGAAAAGGCTTGTGTAAACCTACGTACAGATAGACGTATTTTCCACCAATGCTTGCAATCAGTTTTCCATTTGCAGCCTGTAAGGCGAAGGTAGGTTGCTTCTGTCGATCTGCTGCTGTAGCAGGCAGGATGCTGACTTCGGCGCCTGTGTCAACTAAGTACCGGGTTTAGTTGGCTGCATCATGGATGTATAGTGGGCGACTGATGGCACCGGCTACGGTTGCTGCTAACGCGTGACGGCGGGATAGTTCGCCATAGTCTTCGAGACATTGCCAAAATACAAGGTTTTTGGCAACATTTTGCTTCCTGGATATAGGTATTGTGACACCAACACCGGTCAGGGTCTTTAGGTGAACGTGGTTTGGATTTTGAGCAACCACGTGAGTTTCACCGTTGAGGGAAATTTGGACGATGATAGGAGGAATTACGGGGATTATTAGGCCTAAGTGGCTGCTGGAGGGATCTGCATAACTCTATCACTGCAGTGTCCCTACTCGATGTCTGTTGAGCATATTTCAGTGACTGGCCGCTTTGTTATTTCTTGGATTTTATCGACAGAGTTAGCTTAGTCGTCTATAATAACACTTTGAAGTGTCACCAGTATAGCCTGTACCGACTGTGGCAGTTTGGATACGAACAGCTGTCTGAAGAGTCCGTCATAGGACTAACGTTGGCCAATAACTTCCCTCATTTTTGTTAGCATGCTCACAGCTGACTGATCACCTAGCTCCATGCTGCGAAATAGTTCGCCAAGACACTGTCGATCCGCGAGGTCCTTTCTCTTTAGGAGGTTTGCTTTAAGCAATTCAACTAACCTATGGGCCTGATGTCTGCACAGTTATGCATTTGCTCAATTCCCGCGGTAAAGCGTGGACAACTGCAAGGAAATATGAACGTTGGTCACTTATCTTGTGTTCACTGAAATCAAACTCCTCTACCTGAAACCACGATTCAACGTCATGGCAAAATGGCACGAGCTGAACAGTTCTGGTAGTTGATCTAATACGGACTACCTTAGGAGTATCATCACTCATGCCGAAATATATATAGTTAAAAAATAGCACAAGAACAAATACGAAATGGAACGAACTCACCGTCTTTGTCTGTGTATTTACTTAAGATGAAGTTCGTGGTAGGGCTTACCACTTTAGAGGCTAAAGGTATTGACGTTAACGGATAGTATGAAGTATACTAACGTAAGATCTAATACCCACAACTTTTATAGTATCCGGTCCGTGGAGACCGAAGACATAGCAAAACACCAGAATTAATCGTCCAAATTACGAATTATATTTCGGGACCAAATCGGAGTGCGAGATGATTGCTTAACTAGCTAGGAATCGTGCAGGAACGAACGAACGTAACACGACAGCATGCCAAATGGTGTGGATGCTCGACCGGTAGCCTTCAGCTAAACAAATCGATTGTGACAGAGAGGGTCAGCATCCAATGTTCGGTGACGAATGCTGTTGCTAATAATTCTGGGGAATTACCTACCGCTACAAGTATGTTAACTTGGGCAAATTACTGAAACGAAAACATGTTGCCCCTGTCGTGAGTCTGTTTGTATAACTGAAAGCATCATACTAGCTTTTTTATTCAAGTTTTAACACTATATTCTGATTTATTTACTTTTGTGTATCGTACTGGGGCATTATCTATTAGTTTCGAATATTTCAAACGTTACAGTTCAATAGCTTGAAATATTAATCTGGATTCTTTTGTAACTGCCTATGCATATATTAATGTCCTAAATAGCAGTAAAATTTTATAATGTATGAGCTGTCTAAAAGAAATGGACTACTGTCTCTTTCATGTCATGAAACAGAACATTGTACATGTGACGAGACACTGGCGTTTTAATTGCAACCACATTTTGTGACCGTAGTGCTAATGTCAACTACAACGGAGATGCCGGAGGCGGAGACCCCAGGTGACTTAGTTAGGGGTTTCGTGTCAAATCTTGAGCGAAGGCAAAGAAATCTAGTAAAACGGAAGGTAAATGCGTCATACATAGTGACTTTTGTAGAGCAAATTGGATGGATATCGTGAGAAACTACAAAAAGGTGAATCGCTGAAGGAAGAACAAAAGAAAGCTGTGGAGAGCTATGACGTCGTTGTACAAAACATTTCGTTTGTGCAGGAAGTAGTGAATCAAGCCAAAGATCTCATTTCAAATATGGAAGCGATGAGTGAGAAACAGATGTCCCAGATTGAGGCGGAACATGAAAGACATACACTTACACATTTAAGTGTCCAATTGTGCTTGCAACGTTTTCTTTATTCGCTGGATATACCGACAGTACGTTCAGCTGTGGTAAAATCATCATCAGAAAGTAGTCTCAAGCTGCTTGACGCATTGCGAAATCTTATAACACCACCGGTGGTTGACAATTGGCCAGGATGTAGCTCATCTGCTTTGGCATCTGCTCCTGAATTTTTGCAGGCACGAGATGATATTAAGGCTATAGCAACAAATACTTACAACTTCACGAGTGGGCGTTCAATACCTGTCCCGCTCCCAAGTGACTTGGAGGAGTTTCGCAAGAAAAATACGACTTTCAAGGATGCTCGAAATCTCTGCTTTCGTCTTCTAGCGAACCCCACCGTTCAGCAGTCTTTGGGTTTAATCGAAGAGTGTGAAGCAGTTAATATGGTTGATCCTATACAACCAGCCCCTGAAACCCCAGACACCACTGGTTTCACAGGTCCTGTTGAAATGTCTTCTGCTCCCCAGCATGAATATACCCCAATTGAGCCCAGTCATATCACCCCTGCTGATGAGCCGGTTGACCAGGTCATTCGGCCACTCAACAGTACATTTAATTTCATTCAGGTAAGCAGCGTAGAGATTTCATTTTATATTCCCCAAATTGGTCGTCATAGATATTATGTCCATAATGAGTTGTTTATTCAAAGTTGACTAAAAATTGGCTTTGAAGACCAAGACATTTTATATTCAGTGGTAATTAGAATGAATGGAGACTTGTAATGTTTTTCAATCTCATGGATACTCATGCATCTCACATCTGTGTTGTGTGTGTGTTGATTCAGATTGTAAAGATGGATTCAAACCATATCTCTTGTATCTACAGCATTTGGCAACAAGTGCATTGCTAACTCACTTTATGCAATCCTTTTATACTTCAAGTGAAGCAGGCGATGCATACTAATCAAACCATCTGTAACTTAATTTGTTATCATGTTTCAAGACTAGTATTCAGACGTGCTTTTTAAAGTTAGCTCATCTTAAAAAACGACCTCAGAGACATCCACCAGTAACAGTTTTTTTACAATGATACTATGCTGAAATATTCTTTACTTTATTTGCTGGTATTGATATTCTAAAGTTTTGTATCGTTTAAGCTCATTTACCTCGATTTAAGGTGTAGAAGCAGTGAACGATAGCTCTTACAATTTACGTCTTCTATTAGGTAGTCTTCTGCGGCCGTCTACAGTAGGTTTGTGGAAGGATGTTCTTCAATATGAAATAATGCCATGTCAGGCATTCTTCCTGGACAAACTGTGTCAATTAATGTAGGTCTAAGATGGGAGTGCTAAGGGTGATCATGATGACAACTATAATCTTCAGACTTATTGTTCTAACCTATGTAAGATGCAACAAATTACATTCGCTGACATTTTGGGCGTTAAATCCTGATGGTTATTGGAGTTTAACTCACTACACTCAAGGGGCACTTTCATTTGAGGTCTGTGCCATATCACTCCTACGAAGGATTAGGATATGAACTGCCATTTTAGGAGATGGTTTAGACGACTGGAATTCACAAAACTACTAGGACAGGAACGCAGATACACTTCTATACCTTTCTTATTATAACATTAGATCTTGGTTTGTCTCTTTCACTTGACATTCTCGCGTGTCACTATACACAGTATCTGCGTTACTGTCCTAGTAGGTTACTGTCTTGCAATTTTTTGTATTGTGGGTATGTGGAAAACTTGAAAAGCCTCTTTGTCTTTAACTGTAAGTGATTGCGTTGTCTCCTGTTAAGTCGTATAGTAAGGGTAAAATGAGGGTTAGGCATGGTTTTAGTTAAAGGGATATGTTGGTCGATAAGGTTTAAAATCTACAACGATCGACATCTTACGATTTAAAAACCACCCCTAAAGTTAGGTTGATTATATGAGAGAGATTTATCGCTTATAAACTGTGGTTATTAATAATTTACATTCCAATGGGACTATCTCTGATATCCATACATTACTTAATATCGGAGTCAATCCAGACAAAAAGTCACCATGTGCACCTCTGCAGTCATTACGTAAGGTCCTACTGCTTTGCTTCGTGGATTACAGACAGCTTTTTCGGCTTCAATTAAAGTTAAAGAACTGATATGTATATACAATTCATTCAGCTAGGTGTTGGCTGCTGGTCGTTTAACCTGGCTGCAGACCAGTTGAAAATATTCACAAACGTTCCATACATTCATCCTAAGAGATAATTAAAACAGCTGTTTTCACAAGTTTTTCTGCTTTCCATTGGTTGTTTATAACCCGTCCCTCTAACTGGCTTGATAGGTGTTTTATACCGCTGATGCTTTCCCATCTCAATTGCTCTCTTCTGCCACCACTCTTCTTGGTTGTAGCACAAAACTTCAGATAGCTTGCGTTTTAGCAGTCTTCGCTCCTCGTCATCTTTGGGGTCTCCCAGAACCACTCTCCTTGCGTCCATTATATCGTATCAAATAGCAGAAATTCACTTTTATTTACTAATCCTTGGTTTCAGGCTGTCGACAGTCTTTGCCACTACTTCTACCATCGACTGAATATGATGTCAAGTTTCATCAGGATGAGTTCTGCTGTCACTTAGATACACGTTTATTTATCTTCCAAAAAACGATCGTGACATCGTCAAGCTAGTACGTAGTAGTTCATTAACCATCTGTTGCCTAAGCTCGTCCCGTTGTAGGCATATACGTTCACCGACTAAAACACGGTGGTAGTCTACGCAGGTGTTCCAAAAGGAGCGCGAATTTATCTGCCTGTTCCACTGGCAGCTTATTGCTAAGTGGTCCATTGTTAGTTTGATGTTGCAGGTCGCCATGTGTAGAAATATCTCTCCTTATGTTTGAAATTAATGATCACCAGAAATAGACGATTACCTAAACTGTAAAAGACGATCACTTTTATGGAGCTCCTTGGCTGGCATCCACATACTTTTGTGATCGGTACTACCTGAACACTGAAATCTTAATGAGATGACTAAATGTGGGTGCTTTTCATTTTGCAGCAAACTAAATAGCATTGGATAGAACTCTATCCGGAGAAGTGTCAGTTGAAGTGTGAGCGGAGATGGTGAAAACATATTGAGGGATGTCACAGTCATTCCTTCTAACGGACCCATTTAGTGGATAACACACGACTGTCCAGTAGAATCTAAGTAGTGATTATCTGCCTATGCATTCAGTGCTAATATGAAGTTGGTACTACTGCTACACATCTTTTTGTCGGCGGTACGACTTCTCCCTCAAATATCTTACTTATTGTAGGAGACCTACATCATGTGATGGCAATTGGTTTTAGTCTAACAGCTATTCAAACTACCTATCTGGCATGATAGAATCTGCAGAAACATTGTTTCTAGTCAATGTAGCCCACTGGTTCACCGATAAACACTATATTGAGGTAGAAACTATCGGCCTAGGTGTGTAATGCTGGAAACTAATGATGTTTTGACATTTCACTATTTTGCTATGCGTAAAATTGTGTAACCATATTTTGGACATACTTTAGAGATAGTAAAATTGGAATTTACCATTTTAGTATATAGTGCTAAACATTTTACTCTTTAGGCCTCCAGGGTCGTCCACTCACAAGTTCCAGTAGAAACTCCGTCTGGTTTCGATGAAATGGTACCCGGTAATCATGTGCAAAGCAACACAAGCGTGCCATGCTTCAATAACCACAACTTTGCAGATAACGACATCGACCACTCAGTGATGCCCAGATTAGATCAGCAGTACGTCTTGGAAATTCCTGAAGCAGAACCGCCGAAATCTGATATGTGTGAGCACAGTCCATCATCACTACCAACAGGGGAGATAGTGAGACAAGCTTCCCCTTATAAACCAAATCTTGTAGCACAAGACGAAAAGGATATAAATATTAACGGAAATAAGCCGATTTCTTATGCGGATTCAGTTCGAAAGCTTGGACAAGTCAACCAAAATCTTCGACAGGATATTACGTCTACGAAAAAGGTTGACCGCGCATTTGAGGATGGCAATCGTGAGACTGAACAGTTGGATCAGAATAATCGTGGTCACTCTAGAGGTGGCTTCCGTGGTCGTATTGCCGGCGAAAGTCGAGGGGGACGTGGCGGTAAGTTTCCAGTTATGTTTCGCTGCAATTTTATGTTGTGAGGCAATGGTATCTCAAAATACTAGATAAAGAAAAATACTTTTGGGAAGAAAAGAAGAAATTTAGCTAAAGAATTATTGAGGGGGGATAATACTATCTTGTCTGTTACACTGCCTCTGTTATAGTGAAAGTTTAAATTTCTCATGTTTGCAGTCCTAAATATGTTGCAAAACTGATTTGTCTATTTGGTCGGCAAACAAGAATTTTGTGATTGATAGTGCGGATCAGTGATTGGAAGATGCTCAAGCAACTATGAAACGTCTCTTCTACAATACAAGACTTCTAACGTTCGGTCAATTTGCTTTTTTGCTTTGTATGCTACATGGAGTGTGGCAACTTGAACTGCCGCACATATGTGCAAAGTTCTATGTCGAAAACAGACAGACAGACAATTTGCATTCTATGTACAACTGATACACCAAAAATCAACCAAGATATAATTTTTTTAAGATATAAAATTGTATGTAATCTTCCTGATAATATCATATAGTTTTTGTTTTATTTACCAGGTGCTCCAAGGCGCAATGCTGGGCAACGAGGTGGCAGTTTCGGAACTCATCCTGGTCGTGGTGGTGCACCTCGCGGAATGCCAACTGCGTTTGCTCAACCCACGTACTGATTCCTTTAGGAATCTGGCTGAATTTGTTGCCCTACATTAGGCCAATGGCTTATTGAGCAATAAATTACGGCTTTACTATTTGTATGATACTGCATTTTCCTTGATAGGTTGACAATCGCACTGTGGAACATTTCAAAGTTACACTGATTTGTAAACAGTGTGACGCTTGTGATTAGTTTTCCCTTACCGGCGATCCTGTTGACATTTTCACTCACTCTTTAAAGTTAACCTTAAATACATTTTTGGAAATAACTTCAGTTTTTTCGTGGGAAGTTGGTTTTACTTGTGGATATTCTATCGAAGCCATCGCACTGGTGCTAAGCTTGTCACCAGCAAACCGGAAATACAAACTTTTGATATCCATCAGTGTAATGCTTCTGCAGACTAAGGCTTTAAAGGAAAGTATGATTCTAGATTTCCCAGCTGAGGTGAAGTCAAGAAGTGGATTTCAAAGGCGAATGATTGCACTAGTAGGGTCCTCGTGGTAATCAACTTGCGTGTGTATTTTCACATGACTGCACTTCAAAATTTGACTCGTAAAACTTTTCGTTTTTGGTGGTTGCATTGCCTAAATGTCTTGACGTTTGTTTGCAGTGTGTGGTTAAGTAATATCATGTTATCTAGTGAATGCTAACTGGCGGTGGAATCCAGGATGGAGATTTCTTCCTGCTCGGGACTCGTCGTCTGGATGTGCTTGCAATCCTCATTGAGTGATGGTTCCAAGTTGGACGAAACGCGCATCCTGCATTTCAATGCTTGTCAACATCCACCAGACTACTTTATGTTAATCCTCGGGTATCGTCGAATCATCCGTACTAGGAGCTGACTTTTCAACAGAGGCTGAACATTTCGGTCCAGTGAATCAACGGGAAAATCAAAGCTGAGCTACACAAATAACATCAAGTTGTTGCAGCTAATTAAACCTCTATAGAATCAATACTGAGACTAGTAAATTGCGACATTTAGTCTGATTGAATGATAAATTTGGACTATCATATGGTAAACAGTACTGTTGCACTGTGTGATATGAGTTTCAAGGTAGATTTTATTATGAAATGACATTATTTAGGAAACCATAGCCTACCACTTCGGCTTCTAGACCGTAGAGTACTGATTTAATTCCTTACAGGGTTCGTGTATGTCCACTTATGCATCCCAAACTAGTATGAAACAGCCGTTTATTTCGTAATGATTTCTGATCAATACCAAATTGAAATTGGTTCTTATAAATGGCAATCTTGAAACATATCAACTCTAAACGATCACGATTTCCGAATAATAAAGAATTTGCAAGAGTTAGCTTACAGGGAATGATTTGCTTAGAGTTTTACCACAGACTAATATCATTTGGAGAATCATTAAAAACTAACTGAAAGTACTGGACAGTATTCAGAATTGTGAAAATAATGAAGTATAGATACATTCGCGCTACTAAGATATACTTTCAGGCGGTATTACTTAGTTTTAACATAAAGCGGGCCACGATCAGACAGTGAAGACATCTGTACATGTCTGAAATATGAGCTGACTGATTTCGTGAGTCGATGTTTCCTAGCCTAACTACATTTATTTCACCAGTTTTATAGAGATTCCATCAACACTGCGTGATCAGGAAGACAATGGTTTAGCATGTGTTTCACATGTTTCGACTACCTCACCTGGCCACCAATAACAAACTAACTGACTTATCTTCTTTACTCAATATTCTAAGTATAATTTCGAAATCATCCGAGACAAATACTGTGAACTCCATCCTGACAATGTCTTTTACACTCAACAGCTGTATTTCGTGGCAGACATCAGAATGCTGTAAATCTAACACTTGTCTTTGCATACATATAGTGCCTTCATTTAAGCAGCATATGTGGTGCAAGCTGGTGAATACCCGGGAGAACTTATGTATTTGTACGAAAATATCGTTAAGAGCCGCATTGTTTTGTGAATCAACTTCAGCAAATATTCTGCACTGCCAAATAAATGTCTTGATAACGAAGTAGGTTATCACACTGGTATGCTATTCAGTACGTAAAGTAAAGCTAGGCATGAGCTAAGTAACTTAAATTCGCTCCATGGAAAGCGTCATTCACAATCACTAAAGAAATACTTAATTTTAGAGCTAGCTTTTTCCAGCTCCATCGTTTTATTGTGTGTTCTTGAATGTATTGTGATTGCTGAGTTTTCCTCCAAAGTATTGATCTTTGTGATGTTAATCATTCTACACTTAACTAAATTTTTATGTTCCGATAATCTGACTGCTTCCAGTCTACTGGACTTACCTATGTGGTTGACCTCACAGTTACTGCAAAGTATTATTAGTAATTTGTCTAACCGGATCGATTGGGTCTTTTGCTCTAACAGAGCTTATCCCTGAGTGAGTTTGTAAGTCGAAACGCCACCCTAAAACCTGCTTTATTAAGGATCCTACTTAGGGTTTTATATGTCACTTCCCTACATGGTAACACTACAGGTGCTTTAAATTATTGTATGTTGTGGCTAATAGTTTTGCTACTATTGTTTTTTTATTGTTGGCTTTTTTGATCTTCCTAATGAATTTTATGGGACAGTCATTTCGCACCAGTGTATCATATAAAATTGTTCTTGATGAAATTATACTGTAACACAGCGTCCAAATTCTGTCCCGACATTGCCTGCTACACGTATTGATAATTGTGTGGTATTGAAGTAGTAGGAGTGATGTAAGGTGACCAGGTATGCGATTTACTGGGAAATACTGATAACTAGGAAGATCACTACCATTGAGAAACCTGTATGAATATCAATTAGTATTGTTTAATGAAACATACTTTAAAAAATATTATCTGGAGCTAAACAACCTACCTTTCTGATCTGAGTAGGAGGTGTTAGCAAAATTGTTCTTCAGTCAGAATTGTTTGCCAGATTAACATTCTTGATCATATTGACAAAGTTAAATGTATCATAGAGATTGTTTCTCGAGAATTTGATCACGATATGCCCAGATAAAAGGGTCGTGATCACAGTAATTGATCAGCTCATGATCAATGCTGTAAACAAACATTTCTTGACCTTCAGGTCAAGCCAACTGATTTCAGCCTTATCTTGAGGAGGTTTTATATACCACTTTAAGTAACCTTAATTTGTTATAATGTACTTCAGCTTACTTTGTATGAATGTACTTTTACTGCTCAGGTCAGTACGTGTTCCCAGTCAAATGACTGGCTGTCGAAATCAACTAAGAATGATAAAACGTTCATGACAGACAGCCAATATTAACGATCATCATGGATATACCAACTAGTGGGTTTTTCTGTCAAGGAGTAAACTGAAGAATAGTAAAACGCTCCTTTCGTGATTTCAGTTTTGTGGATCCTGTGAGGAAGTATTTCTTAATTTGCCTAGATCTTTAGTAATGGAGAAGTAGTGTTTAATACCTTAGAGTAATAAATATGAATAACTTCATACATTTGATTCCCTTGATAAATTTCGATAAAGAAAGGAAGACCAGACTTGCAGTATAAAATAATATCATTCTACTTCACAGGCACTCATCAGCTGCAGACTACCTGAAATTACAATGGTTACATAGATGTTAATAACATACTTTGATGTTTAAGTGGTAGTAGAGAAGAAATTCTATAAAATTGACGCATCCAAAATGGAAGCATTACAATTTTTAGTTTAAGTTTTCATCACCAATTTATACGCTTTCAAAGTAGAAGAGAGGGGGAGGGGTGAGACAGAAAACAGAGAAAATTAACAAACAGTGTTAGCCTTTTAGGTTCACGTAACATGCTGAAGCGATCGCAGTCAAACGATTTAAACCAGACTTATGCATACATAAAGAGAGTGTGATTAACCTCTCACTCCCTTGGTAACTGAATTTTGATTTTGATTACATTAATTAGTCATCTAATTCAGTGATCTCAACTCACTGAACAAATCTTAATCTCATAAACTGTAACCGCTTTTGATTTTTGAGTTGCTATGTGAACCTACAAGCTAACACTGTTCTGTTAATTAATTTTTATGTTTTCTGCCTTACCCCTCCCCCTCTCTTCTTTGAAAGCGTATAAATTGATGATGAAAACTTAAACTAAAAATTGTAATGTTTTCATTTTGGATGTGCCAGTTTTATAGTATCTCTTCTCTACTACCACTTAAACATTAAAGTATGTCATTATCATCCACATAACCATTGTAATTTCAGGTAGTCTGCAGCTGATGAGAACCTGTGAAGTAGAATGATATCATTTTAAACTGCAAATTTCTTCTTCCTTTCTTTATCGAAATATGAATAAATTTGTTGACAGTTATTGTATGCTTTTTGTGTTATGCAGTAAGCTGTTATTTTCAATGCAGCGAGAGTGAGATTTATTGCTTCTTCTTTAATAAGTGGACGGTAATAACTACAAATATATTTCGTTTCACCTCATATTTACGAGTCAATGTAGTAAGAAGAAATAGTTCAATGACGAGTCTTTTCGGAGAATTCATTCACTTAGCTCTTCAGTCGCAATTATACAGACATACTTATTTTTGTATGTGTGTGTGTACATTAGCTATGTCAAACAAGAATAAAAATTAATTACGGTTAATGTTTGCCTCATCAAAATATTTCAAGAAAAGACATGTTTGAATAAAGCAAGAACAACAGTTGTGTGTGCAGAATAATATGGTGCCATCATTTATTTCGTTGGCTTCTCATCAGTTGCTTACAGCCTAAATAAATTATGAGGTTTACGTACAGAAAAGTTTTAACTTACTTGCAAATTTTACATGTCAGTTGACAGAAAGTTCCACAATTAGTGAACAGTGCTCAGAAAACTGCGCTTATATAGTTTTTTACACAGGCAGTTCAAGTCAAAATAAATGCATGCATACAATGGTAAAGGAGTTACGTAATAAGGACGAGAGGTTAGTAAGATGATGAGTAACTAATAAATTAGGTAAAGATGTACTGAGTTCAAGTCACGTCATGGAAACAAGAGACAAGCAAAACTACAGATTATGAAAAAAGGGGGATGAGGTTAAAGACAAAGATTACGTAGTCAGGCGAGAGAATAGAGACATCCAGTTACCAGGGCAAGGAAAGATTAATAACTGCTTCTTTCTGAACACATAAATCTGGTTTGAAGCGTTTGATAGAAATTGCTTCGGCAAACTTAAGAAGAATGGAGCTCCTTTGTCTGTTGATAATTTTAAAGGATTTCTCGATTTCCACCTCATGACCCGTGTTGAGGAGATGCCTAGCGATGGCACCATTTAAAGCATTTGTTCCCTTTAGACGTAAGCTTTTTGGTACATGTTCAGAAAATCGTAGATACGCCCTTCTTTCTGTCCTTCCAATGTAACTGCTCCCGCAGATACGAATAATCAGACTGTAACTAAGTGTGTGTGTGTGAAGATTAATAAGTCTTGACTAGTGTTACGTAACATGAAAGATATGCAGAAAAATAAGATGTTAATAAAAGAGCATGGAGACATGTGTCCAAAATAAATTATGTAGTAGGTGGAAAGAGTAAATAAAGGGTTAGTAAAGAAAAGATGTTACTGGAATGTCAGGCAACAGTAAAGAATAGACACCAAAGTCAAATGAACTTGAACAAACCAATCAGTTTGCTCAGTATTACAAATGGATCTTTTTCGTAATCTGTGTTGCAAGTTTCATCCTAAGCCTAATTTTCGTTGCAAGACTTACCTAGCCTTAATTATAACCGTACCTTAATCCTACCGTAACCTTAACTCTGAATCAGGATGAAACTTGCAGCGAAGATTATTAAAATCATCCAATCGGTTATGCTGAGAGATCTGATTGGTTGGTTCAAGGTCGTTCGACTTTGGTGTCTATTCTTTACTCTTGCAAAATGTCATATAAAATTCCAAAAATAATATTAGTAACAAAGTAGGCAGGCAGGCAGGACGAAACAGCTGTCCAGTACTCCCAGGTTTTCCAGTGGTTCTCTAACTGATGTCAGCTCATGATGAAATCTTCCATGCAATCAAACAAAATCCCTACAAAACCAATACTTGAAAAGTAACAAAGTAGTCGAAATTGGAATTATACCCAAGGTAGATGGAACGGGTGAAGGAGTTTCTTCTGTGTACATAAATCACGGTTTTCTATCCAGATCGCTAATTCAATGAATTTATTCACTAGTTTATTTCCATACTCATATAACTATGACAGAATCCAGCGTAAAATAGCATATCATCCTTCCTCACGAATCGTGTGATTTACCTTGTGATAGAGTTACTTTGTTGATTTATTATTTCTCACGCATATCGAGATTTAGTGTGTGATCAATTCATTATCTTTTGTCTCGCCTTGGTCTTTGTCGGAACGTCAACCAGTAAGGATTGAAATTTCCAGTCAGTAAGAGCAATCCATTCTCACAGATTTGAGCCGACTTTATTATGGTAAAGAAAATGTATTAATATCATGTTTTGTTTCCTAATAAATATACAATACAATATCTTGCAGTTACAGGCCAGTCTTTGTCTTCTGATATTTGCGTGGCTCAGTGAATCGGAAGGTACAACGGATAAATAGGCATATTGGCGTACCAGTTGAGTTCATTACCGTTATAATAATTAGCAGGCGCAGATATAACAAATTGGCGACGGGTTTATTCATTTCTTCAGTGTGGTTATACCAAACTATCAAAAAATAATTTTTCACTTAGCATCCAAACTACCTACGGGCTTTTATTATTGAAAAGTTAGTTCTAATAGTAAGCCGTACGTAAACCAACAGGTTTAATCTCTGTGTTTTAATGTGATATCAGCAGTTTATTAATATTCGAAGTTCTACCCCTTTGTTTAGACAAAGGAGTCTTATCTGTTTATTTCCTCAGAAAAAACATTGCATTTAGGTCACTATGAAGAAGGAAGTACGAAATCTTTGGGACAGAAATTGAACTGAACAAAGCAAAAGTGGTCGTTGAATAGATTTAACTTAGATTATTTCGGGGTAGCCTGGCTAGCAAAGGGAAAACAAAAATAAACCTTTACTTCTATGGGAGTGCATCTTATAAATTTAGGGTGCTTGCTTTCATTTGAGAGGTCCTTCAAAATTCAGTAAAGGGATATATCAATTCACTCGAGATTAGAACAGACAAGACATCTAGACTTGAGTTTTATTGTTTTCTTTGTTCTCTCATGTTTTTCGTAGGGTTAGTAGAATTTTCCAGATGTCTGGGACAGGTGTTGAATAATACTGTTACACTGTGTGATATATGTAATAAACAAACTAATATGGATTTTCAAATATTGGTTTGTTGAGATTTGACTGATTGGTTACAGAATTTCATCATAAGCTGACATCAGTTAGAGAACCACTGGAAAACCTGGGAGTATTGGACAGCTGTTCCGTCCTAGTTTGGGACTCTTCATGACACGCACCTATCGGGGTTCTAACCCTGTGATCAATCAATCAAATCCCTACAAACCAATATTTGAAAATCAATGAGATGCTCACTAGTGACTGGCTATACTCAGGTAGGTAGTCACCTGGGGTTCTAGTGGGACGCCATGACTAGTAGGGCGCAGCAAGTCGGGTGTGAGGACAAATGCTCTCCGAAAATATTGGCTAGCGATTGTGCTATATAGTGAACTGGCAGAAGTTGGAATTCATGGGCTGGCCATTGGATCGGATCTTAGTGGTCTACGAGCTCGCCTTTTAACCAGAAGGTCCTGGGTTCGAACCCTGGAGGTGGGTACATACCGCGTCTCAAACATCTGTCTAGCAGTAATCTCAGGTTTTCCAATGGTTCTCTAACCGATGTCAGCTCATGATGAAATCTTGCAACCAGACTAATATGGAATTATATACTAACACAATACCCAAGACATAGCTAAAACACTGACTGTGTTAAGATTCCACCAAAAATTATGTTTCAAACAGTTATTTCCACCCAATGTTTTCGCTATGGTCATCCTATTGAGGTGACTGTCTAAATAAATACATTCTTATTTGACAATGTTTATTCTCTTAATCCCAGGTTTATTTTCCTCTTCTATATCTTCATTTGTATTACCTAACTTAATGTGCTTTGACTTGTGACCAATGGCAATACTGGAACCTTTCTTCTTTTTACTGTTTTCATGAATTCACAGTATAGAAGATTATTTCAACAGAAAGGTGAATTTCTTTTCAATACATCTGTCTTTTTTATCTCCACAACACTGAAAGAGTTACTGGTAGTTAGCTGACACTATAGGTATCTTCCATATATCCTATACGAAATGAGACACCCAGGCATACTACTTACCGATCTGTTCAATGAATATGAGTAAGACTTAAGTATCTTACTTTAAGATGAAATCGTAGTCTGTAACTTCCGTATTTTATTGTTATGTACATTACTTGAAGAGTATATTTTAGTTAAGTGACAATTCTTGGTAGAGTTAAACTACCATAGCCAAAGTCAAGGTGTGTCAGATGATGATTTTCAAGAACCAGTCAGATTTAGGGAACACGACAACCTTGTGGGAGATAAATATTACTATAGATGCAATTCATGCCATAGAAGAAGATCCGGATTTTCTCATAAACGGACGTTCATGAGGGTAAGTACAGTATTCTACTTATTCCCTAGACACTTTTCTTTGTCAGGTTTAGTGTTTAAGTTAGGGCTAAGAAGTAGGGTTGCGGTTAAGGTTAAGGGCATCCAAAAGTAGCGCAATTACCAGTTACTTAGGTGAATGCATCTATCGCTCATTGTCTTTGCAACATATTTTTTATTTATTTATTTTATTTCTCTATGTTCCCAATGGAAAATAGGACTTCAAGCTAGCGGTTTGAAGTTTCGGTAGCAGTGGGATTCATTTTCACGGGATGGGGTTGCTAGCCTCATGCCCAACCTTCCCTCTTTACCAGTCTTATTACAGGCTTAGCGGGCTAAAGGAGTGCGTCGGTCGGGGATCGAACCCCGGACTACATGCATGGTCGGCAAGCATTCTACCGCTGTGTCACCGACGCACACATAAGAGACCATTATTCAGTTTAATATTATGTTTGCAGTGGTTTTGAATACATTTTTTGACGACTGTACGAGTTTTTCGCATCCGAATCCTGATTGGTTGTTCAAGGTCACTGTGATTTTGGCTAAGATAGTTTTTGACTTTGCTCAATTCTTGATTAAATTATATGTCATCACGTGATTGATAGAATCAGTCAATATTTATTTGAAAACTAGTGAAGGAAGTTTACAGAATTTCATACATTCAGCTTTTAACTGAAATATACATTTACATTAATACGACCAACTACTCAGAAAAATATGCAGCCTTGTAAGTGAATATTGATTACCGCAATGAGATGAATTAGTTGATTGTAAATTTTACAAAATGTGTTACAACGCGGTTTAGAAAATTTGTTATTTCAACTAAATCAAATGTGATCATTCAAAAGCAATCTCAAATCATGTTTTTAATGGAATATTAATCTGATATGCGTTCATTTTAGAAATGCTACAAATTGAGGAATAGAAGAATTATTGATTAGTTATTTAATTGAACCAAACCACTTGAATATTAATCTGATGCTCACTAGCGACTAGCCCTATTCCGGTGAGTAGCTACCTGGGTTCTAGTGGGAATTCGTGACCAGTTAAGTACAGCAGGTCAGTTATCAGAAAAAATAATCGCCGTTGATATTCTCTGGTGGTTGAGCTATATCGTGAATTGGCAGAAGTTGGAATTCATGCACTGGCCACTGGATCGGGTCCCACTGGCTTAATTGTTTACGAGCTCGCCTTGTAACCGGAAGGTACTACGTTCGAAACCCGGGTGTTGCATACAGCCAAGTACTCCCAGGTTTCTCTAACTGATATCGGCTCAAAATGAAATTCTGTAACCAATCAAATCAAATCCCAGCAAACCAACACTTGAATATTAATTGAATTTTTAGGATTCTACATAAAAAATATTCATTAAGTTATCAGAAAGAGAAGAGCGAGCATAGTTCAGGGAACAGTCTCTTTTCGGCGGGGTTAGTCACACAGCTGTGCAATAGCGTTTATGTACAAATTCGTTTTTGGTGATCAGATACAGTATGGTAATTAAATTTATTAGTTGGTTGTGTAGATAAAAAAAAAATTAAAATACCATTTCCATCATAAAAGAACCAACATAATGCTTGTGGATAGTGAAGACCAATCAAAATGTTGTAGAAAAGGAATGAAAACTAATAAGGTTCTATCAGTGGGTGCGTAATAATAGTGGAAAACCACACGTAATAAGTGAAAGCATAACAAAAATGGATGAATAAGAGTGAAAAACTGCGAGTGTCAGTCGCTAACACTAGACGAACATTAAAAAGGAAAGTGTCAATAAGACAAAGAGAGAAAAAGTAGCTAGACCAGTTCCTATTTTGTGCATAAAATAGGCCTATGCGTGTGGATAGCTAGTGCTTCAACATTATAGAAAATGCGGATGTTTACCATCCTAGTAAGACTTTGTTTTGTTTTATAAACAACAGTGAATCCATTGCATCTTGAAAATAAGTGACTGTACTGAGAATGTGTCCAATTATCATACTTGTAATCGATACACGTTCTCCACTTTACAACCAAAATTGCTAGTATTCCTTGGTTTTTAAAAATATGATTGGCATCTAATGACCACATGTCTTGATCCACAGAAGCAGACAAATTAGTGGATGCATGTGAAATAGGTCAGAAGTGACAGTTCATTCTGCCGAATGCTAGTCAACACTGACCAAAAAATGAACACTAAACTAAGAAACTTTAAAAATATTGATTAAAATTACTTATTCATAACAAAATTAATTGTTTATAGGATTTCATCATGAGCTGTCATCGGTTAGATAACCATTGAAAAACCTGGGATTACTGCTAGACAGCTGTTTCGTCCTAATTTGGGACTATTCATCAGTACGCACCCACCTCCAGGGTTCGAACCCAGGACATTCTGACTGCAAGGCGAGCTCGTAGACCATTGAGCCACTGAGACTCGATCCAATGGCCTGCCCATGAATTCCAACTTCTGTCAATTCACTACATAGCGCGACCGCTAGCCAAAATCTAATTATGGGCATCAAACGATCGCTGCATGACGGATTTTAGATCGTTTGGTGAGAGTGAAGGACGTCACATTAAAGGAAATGGTGAATGCTTCATAAAGTGCGCATCATGTACACTTCAGTGGATAAAGTGCAACCCAATGCTAAACACAGTTTAAATGTGAATATATCAAATGCAACCAAAAAAGCAAAGTCTTCCACAAAATTTATTTGCGAGGAATTCTGTAGACCTTATTCTCAGCTGAGTATCTTGGACTATTATGTAGTTGTTAAGAGATAAGAAGTACGAATATTCGACTGCTGTTACCTTCATAGTACTGTCAGAGTTTAGAAGGATTACTAGGCATAGAGTCCTGGGGAAAAATGTAAAAGTCATGTATTATTTATACCATCTCTAAAAGTGTAACAACAGAAGACAAAGGCCAGGCAACAGATCGTTTATTGAGGAAAATCAACACATATTTATAGATTTTAATGTACATTATTGTAAATCATTGTTAGTAGAAAATACAGTCTTTTGATTGGTTGTTTCTCACAGAAAGTTAACCTTGCATCTCTTTGTGGCTGTGTCAGGTCATCCATATGCTAACTGTATCCGCCTACGCAAAGCCTTTGTTCTCACTTTCTTACCACCAATATTGGGGACATAAACATTGATGTCAATTATTGTCTACCAACTTCGGCTAGCAGCCAGCTCTCACCACAAAAGGACTCTACAATAGGACGAACGAACATACTCTTTTCACATTCCAGTTTCTCGAAGTCACCACTAATCCTTAAACGGAATATTCCTTCGCCTGACTTCCTCTGTGTTATTTGTGCTTTTAGAATTGTGTCAAATTGAATTGGTACGATTTAGTGCAAATTCCTATTGTGATAGTCAGTCAGAAAGTGCGCATTACTGACTGATTAACTCACCACCGTAGAACGTTGCACTGGAATGCAACAGTTCAAGTTACCACTCTCTTAAGATTTATATATTTGAGGTGAAGAAAGAAATGTAACGAAACTGAAATGGACGAATATACATGGGAGTCAAAACAATCAGATAAATTTTGACGATAAAAAAGAGTGGATATATCTACCCGACCACCGAGTCTAGGTAGCACCTATCGGTTGTGTAAATGAAATGGCCAGGGTATGTTACACATTCTAAGACATTAACTTTTTCGATAAGCAGTGTTTGATAAAATGAGATTAAACTGGAAACGAATTAGCAGCGATCAGACTAGAACATGGCACCAATGTATGAAGTCTTATACTGGTAGACATATATCAATATGGAGGCGTAGACTTCATCGATATGTGGCAATAAAATATGAGGAAATAAATTCTACTAGTGTAACCAAGACACTTACCCACAGTTTCTTCAAAGAGGCATGTAATTATTAGTATTTGGCATGACAGTTATTTTTTCCCTGTAAAGCAGTATAAAGTTATATAACTTGCCTATTAACTGTTAGCGCTTTTACAATGTAGATTTCCACAAATTTTAGATCCAGGGAATCAATCTCCAATATACGGTAATCCACCCTATCCTCAAATGTCACCACCTTTTCAAATGCCTCCACAAGCTCAGTACCAACCAGGACAACAGTACGTCATGACTCCAGGTTAGTCAGTGATCTGAGAATTGAATCGTTTAGTAAATTTGTGACTATAATTCATTATTTCTGAGGCCTTTTTCTATGTATAATAGGTGTAGCATATATGTCAACTGGAGTTATTGTTGGTCCTTCTGTACCACCTCAACAACCGAAAGGATTCTGTAAGTTGCATTTGTCTTATTCAAGTTTCCTTGCATTTTTCGTTTCAATACATTTATGACGATGTAAGATTATCGTTAAATGTTAAAGATATGAAATCAAAAAGTTAAGAAGTATTTATTGTACTGTTTGAGATAATTTTAGTTTAATAGATTGCTTCATGTTCTTGTAAGATACTGGTAGTGCTGTTGGTAAGCTACAATTTACCAGCTCTTACTTAACATAAAATGCCTAGTTATCCAGTAATTCAATTCTCTACCTAATCTGTAATTACTGACGGCAAACACAAATTAAAAACTTCATACATAGCCATTAATAAAATGTGCTCTTGTTAGCAGTATATTTGAGTAAAATGGAAAGGTCAATATTATCCAAGGAGAAAGGTCAAGAACTTATCTAACTAACATGACTGTACTACAAACTCAAAGAGTGTGCGTGTGGACAGCAAAATGGAAAAGAGCAAAATCAAGTTGGAGCCAGTCAGTATATTTAGACATTAAAACAAAGTCTTAAAACATTGGAAATTCCACTACACTCTGATGATTACAGTTTATATAAGAAGATGTAGAATGGGAGAATTTTTACCACAACTGGTAAATCTAAATAATCTTTTTCATTCTGTGCGAAAATAAAAATAAAATTCACTAGCAAGATCAATAAATTGAAGCCTCTGATTATCATTATTCCTAGTAAAATTAGACGTGGCACTAGCAGACACCAGGCACTCATCATCAGAAATTTCGCCTCAAATATGAGAATTATTATGAATTTTCCTAAGCAGATTTATATACCACCAGATGAACTATGAGTGATTGGACAGTAAATTTGAAGAGAAGGATCATTAGGAGTATAATATTTGACGCTGGAAATAAATGTTCAATTCAGATACAGAATATATTTCTTTTAAATACAACGGAATGAAATCCACGAGAATACATATGTAATATTGATCTTGTGTAGATCTAGTTTTAAATTTGCGAATATTTCATTTATGTCGAGGAAATAAAGTGCTTCTGTGAAGACTTAACTGAGGGGTCGAAGTAACATTAGAAACCTGTCTGATAGAATTCAGTCTGCACCAAAACAAAGGACTAAACACATCACACTAGTCACTAGTGTTCAATGAAGGTATCCAATACAATCCTACAGGAGGTCAATCGAGAACCCGAATAGCTCAGTGGTAACGTTTGTGACTGCAGTACTCACTGGGTGAAGCAGGTCCGAGTCTCATAAGGGACATGAGTTGCTTCAAGGTTGCAGGTACGCCTTGCTGATCAGTGCCAACTGGCACGAAACCTAGGTCTAAAGCTTCCTGACGATTGCCTCCAACCATCTAACATCAACTATTCAGGGTGCACCGTGATGGTGAGCCACCTAGAATGGTGGCCACATTGCAAACCTGACTGATAGAATTCAGTCTGAACGAAAGAAAGGACAAGACACATCACACTAGTTACTAGTGTCCAATGAAAGTAACAATCTACTTTTAATAAAATAGTGTATTCATGAGGTAGTCAACTTAATAAAATTCTGTCTTAAAATCTCTACCTTTATTCTTTTTTATTATTATCATCTAAGTTTACTATGGAAATGGCGGACAAGGTAAGTTTAACGTATTGTCTTTTGAAATATTATGCAGAAAGTTATCAACACTTAAATGGCAAGTGCTCAAATTTTACCATGTAGCCATGCTATACATTGCCACTGTTCTTTTGAAGTTAGTTTTTGTTAAAAAGAAGGGTATTACTTTAGAAATTCTGTTGATATACACATATTTTTATTGAATTAAATACATGCTCAATGAATTAGCTAAATTAATTTAATCATTACATGAAAATTACTGAAATAATTGGGCTCATTTTCTTTTTGCAGTGAATAATACAGGTTATTTTCATAAACAGGGCGATTATTTAAAAGTTACAGGGATTCCAAGACATTTAAGTAAAAGAAAGCTACTTTGTAAAGAGTTAAACCTTTTGTGTTGAGTAACTAGTTATCTCATCTTAACTTTCACTAAAAAGCTATACAATTTTTCAGTAATTGATATTCTAAAATATTGAATACTGAAAGCATCTAAAAACAGTCTACCGACATTCACTGTTTTCATCTCTCTTCTTATCTTCTTCTCATTGATTCTTAAATCTTGGTTTTCCCAGTGAAAAATGTATTGACTTAAACAAGTGAGAATATGTAAAAGGTCCTATGTTCTGTTGTTTTTATCTATTGTATTTTTTGAAGGAAAAAAACAACATCCGACTGTGCATAAAACTAGTCGTTAACACATTTACATGTATACAGATAGCTTGAAAGCAGAGATATTGATGAGATACACTGTGTGGGTGTGCGGTGCTAAAGGGTTACAAAATAACATGAATCAGTGCTGTAAAACATATTGACTTTCAACTTTTACGCAATTTATTGACTGTTTGCTGTTTTTGAGAAGAGCTTTAAGAACCTTTTTACTAGTGTATTATACTCACTGAATGTATGTCTATTGTAGATTCAGTAGATTTCTTTAATATACTTCTACATGTACTTTGTTGAAGTGCGCCAAATTGAAGTAATGTATTTTATTTCACCTCTTTAAGCCAATGAGATACGTTCATGCTGAAGTATACACCAGCATATTTTAGAATTTTCATAAAGATAAGTCATTGTAAACAGTGACGCCTGTGGATTTTGCTGTCAATTTGAATTAGAGCATTGAAAAATTAAAATTTTGTAATTATTATTAGGAAATATTAATGGAAAAACGAAACACATAGTTCAGTGAAGAGTCTCTTTTCTGTGGATTCATTCACTCAGTTGTACAATCGCAATTATATATATTTATTTTTGTAGGTGTATATTAGGTTGTTTTTTCTTTCCTTCACGTTCCCAGTGGAACATAGGGCCTCAAGCTAGTGGCTTGAAGTTTCTGTAGCAGTGGTTAATTTTACAGGATTGGGTTGCTAGCCTCATACCCAACCTTTCCTCTTCACCAGTTTTATTACTGGCCTAGCGAGGTAAAGGAGTGCGTCGGCCGAGGATCGAATCCCGGACCATGTGCATGGTCGGCGAGCGTCCTAACTGCTGTTCCACCGACACATTATTAGGTTTGTTAGACAAGAATAAAAATCAGACTGTAACTAAGGGGTGTGTTCGACGATTAGTATATGGGTTGTGGTGATGAGTTGTCAAAAAGTACTTGTCAATATTAGTCAGTGCATAAGAGAAGTTGAATAAGTGAATTGTAGTTGCGTAACAAGATGAATAATTTAATGAGTGAGTTGTGATTAGGATGCACATAGAAACAAAAGGAAATATGGAATTATGTAAGAGTTGTGAAGAAATACAAAGTTATGAGGAGTTAGAAAAGCAGACACACAAACATTAAGTAAGTAGAAATCAACACGCTTGTTACCATGATAGTAAAAGTCATTGAATGATTTTCTTTTGTATACATAACTCTGGTTTTTCCAACTGAATGCCTAAGGCTCCAGCAGTATAAAGGAAACGAAAGAGTATTGACTATGGTAGGTTATTCTTGACTCTGTAAATCACTTTGAAGGAGGCGTTTGTTGAGACGAAATGGTTAGTGTTGATAAGGTGTTCAATGATAGAACTCCTAATAGAGCCACTGTTACCCTTTTTCAGCCATGTGGGATAGTGTTCTCGAATCCTTCTGGCAGAATGTGCATCATTCTACCAATGTACTTGGTTCCACGGCAATAGGTGAATTGATATATGCACACAGAATTAGTGAGATGCGAGATCTTGTCCTTAAGTCTTCTGCATACCAATGGACAACTAGAGAACACTACTCTTAGCGTTGCTACGAAGAATGTTCTGACATTTTTCTCTTAATGATATAGCAGGCTAAGTCTCCCTTGAAATCCAAGTTAGAGTGACATAGGAGCATTTCAGTATGTTGTTTTCCCATAAACCTATTTGAAATACATCCAGTATTTGGTGTATTTGGGTGAATTTAAGCTTGGTTAAAAAAAGAAACAATTTTGTTAATATTGCTATAATATAATAAGCTTCATTCTAATTGATAAATATACTTTATTCTGAGACTGTTAAAAGGATTTCAGGGACAAGAATTTATCTATGCCCCATTTGATGATGATACAGTGAGAAATCGTTTTATTAGCAAAGTGAGTTGAAAGTCTACAGTATTTGTTTTGTTTTCAATTTGTGCGCACGGATGAAAAGAACAAAATTAATGTCGTATTTTAGGTTATTTAAATGTATCATATCTCTGATTATGTACAAATCTTTGCATAAACAGGTGGCCATTTCTTTATAATAACACTTTCAAAGCTGTCTTAATCTGCGGAAAGGCTGTGTTATAATATTTATCCATTGTACAACTGAAAATGCTAATATTCGGTGGAAATATTTGATTAGAGATATCAAGTCTTTAAGCAAACGTGTTCAGGTTGGGAAAAGTAACTTTGTGCACTCTCAGCTGTTATCTAAACAAGTCTACTTGAAATATTACATAAATGGTATTAATCGCAGAGAGGTCTGATGCAAATGAAACAGAAACCTAAAGTATTTCCTACGGTCACCAATGTTTTATCGATGACGTCTAGTGTGGAATACAGGATATGTATTTCGATCCACTTGAAACTCGCTAGCCAAATGTATTTGTATGTCAGTGAGTTGATAGTATCTCCACTAAACATCGAGCCTATCACTCGTAGTTCCAAATGTCAAAGCGTTACCACTAGGATGTTGAGCCATCAGCAGCTGGGATTTTACTATTAGATGCTACCAACCAAACAATATCAGAGCGTTTGTACTAGAAGACAAGATTCCAACAAAGATCAAGGATTTTAGTCTCCAGGAAAACTAATCAATAGAAGATTCAAAAGTCTCGATAAATGGTGTACTGGATAAAGACAAATTTAAATGGATTGGGTTATTAAGTTTATCTAAGTCAACCTGATAAAATTATTTTGAAAGAATTGAACATTTTATGAATTAGATTTATTGTACTAAGCACGTTTTGTTTATTTTATGTCAGTGAAATATATTAGAGAAGACTGAAGAAATGAACTGTACAAATGCTCTCAATTATTCCTTAATATGTAGAGCATTTTAAGTAGTATAGATATGATACTGAGTTCTAAAATGTAATGAATTTACCTTAATTTAGTCAGGACCATCGAGACCTAGGCACATGAACCTGTTTAATCTCCAGTGACTGGTGAATAGCTTAGTAGTAACCTCTGTGACTGAAACGTTGTTCTACACAGGTAAGAATCTTGGACGGGGTATCAGTTCCTGCATGTGGGCCTTAGTGACAGTTGTCTATAAGCGCAAAACCTATGTCCAGGGCTTCCACTCAGCTATCTCCAATTACCTAACATTAATATGTTAGTCGGTAGAAGCGTTCACTTCAAAATAGTTTTACAAAATCGATTGGTGATAGTGGAATCTGAGAATATCCAGATATCTTTTAAATAAATTGACTTTTTACAATATATTAGGTTATTTCTCCTCATTTAGAGAGAGGGAAAGGAAATTAAATTGAAAGTGTTTCACTGATACGTTAACAAAACTATTAGAATGAATGAATTACTCAAAAAAGATGAAAGAAAAGGATGACGACATTCACACTAAAAACTTTATGATCTGTCCACTTATCACAAAGTCCAAATCCGCAGCAAGTTATCTGAAATGCTCTTGGTGAAACCCACAAGAAGTGTCTTGACACTAATGTTGAAAATTTTGATCTTATTCGTTATTCTGAGAGCTGTAAATTTCCACAATGATTTCACGATAATGAATCTCTTCCTCACTTTCCCTATTCGATCCAAATCTGTTTGAAACGATGCTTGCAAGTGAAAGAGACGACTTCTTTTAAATGTCGCCTGTCGATAGTGACTGGTATTTGTTGTGGTTGATCGGTTAGGTGTCTTCACCACTTCTGTCTTCTCTATGTTCATCTTTATCCCTATCTTCATTACCTAGTCTACCAATTCGGCATCAGATAACCTCAAACAAGTACCTATTTCATGTTATATGGATTTATGGCCACAATTAGCTCGTTTTGGTTCAGAACACATGATCGCAGGCACAGACATTCAAGAAAAAAGGACAAAGGTTTTTGTGTCTATTCACATTTTACTAAAAAAAAAGTTTTCTTAATATATAAAGGTTAACAAAAACCTGATGAAATAAGTCAGTCAGCAATAATAATCTCTGTATAAATCCTTATCGCATATTTGTTTATCTAAAATAACGGGTTTTTTTTTGTAGAATGGTAAAATTATTAGCAGTGACAATAACTGGAGTTCAGTAACTGTTTTAATAGAAAACTGTAGTCTATGGAGTTCACTGGTTGAGAAATACAGATATATTCACATGTGTAATGACAGTAAAGCTTCTAAGGTCTCACAAGTAAACGACAGCATACTGGCTTCAAAACCTGGAGCTTCTGGACTCATGAACGCATTAGAATACTTATAAGAATTTATGATTTGATAACGTAACTCAATGAAAAAAGTTATTTTCAAGTATTCTACGGACAAATATGCTTTGTAAATAAAAAGAGCTGTTAGTTTACAGGGATTCGATCGGTTTCAGGATGTCATCATGCACTGACATTGGTTAGGGAAGTATTGCAAAACCTGAGAGTACTCGATCGCCACCTCATCCTGATGTGGGACTCCTCAGCAGTACGCACCCACTGGAGTTCAAACTCAGGACATTCTGGTTACACGAAGAGCTCGTAGAAACCTTATCAATTCATGATGAAATCCAAAAAGAACTGTTATTTGAGTGTCTGAATGGATACATTACAAAAGTTTTGTATGCCTGAAATAATTGTAACAAACGTCCAAATGATAAGTTTATGTATTTGTTTAATAACTTCCGTTAATTCGTGACAAGAACTACCTTGAAGTGTATCAACATATAAGTATGTCTTCCTCCTTCTTTTTGAATTCTCTGTCAACAGGTCTACTCAATTCTAACGGTACAGTTAGCAATAACTGCAGCAACCATTTTAATTTTCATGCTTGTGTGAGTTATGTATTGTAAATAAGTTTTAATATTAGTAAGAATGGCGATAACAATTTTAAAAACAGTATTACTGTAGCCTTTTTAACAAAGTTAAAAGTTAATAATGAAACGCTAATGTAAGTGTAGAAGTTGGGTACTGTGGTAGAATGTAATTCTATGTTAGATAAGCTTATTTTAAGTATCACAGAGTAATGCATTATTAACAGTTATATATAAGGGAATGCAATGCATAGTTAGGTAGAGAGAGAGAGAGAAGTTAATCACCGAAGCTTTGTTTATCTATTCAACACCGCACACATGCAATCGGAATGATGCAACACTTATACAGCAGATATGGAAGGTGGCAACAAGGGGAAATTGGAGAGAGAGAAGAAGAAAGAAAATATATATAAGACAAATTCTCAATCCGTGACTAAACTGAAATGATTATGAGTAATAATTTATATTTGAAACGTCATCAAGCCGTTAATACTGCACCACCTTGTGATATTTAAAAGAAACCTGTCTAATATGAAATGAAATGCTTGCAATTCAAAATCAAACTTTAGTGAGAATCAAACAACTGTCAGTTTCTTCAGAATGTTGTGATGAGTGAATTTAATCACAAAGGTTACATAATTTAAAATTTTCTGCCTGTCAATGAGCGTCAAAATTGCATTTCGATAATCGCGAAGAAAAATCAGTGTTATGTTGCTATGATACTGGCTTGATTCCACACTGTATTTTTAGTACAAGTATGGAATTTTCAGCATGTGATATCGGTAGCCCAAATTCTGCAGGCCGACCAAATGATATCATGTGTGCGTTGGCAGGGGATCGAACCCCGGACAACATGCATGATAGGCGAGAGTCCTAACCGCTGTGCCACCAACACACAAGGTGGCCCTAAAAAAAGGCCGGTTTCACGTTCTCTGGCTCCCAAGCCACACACCGATGATCTTAGGCCTTCACTCTTTTGGTCTTCTTAGGCAACAACACAGCCTGGATGCTAAGCAGGACACCACCCTGGGCTATGGTAACACCACCGAGCAGTTTGTTCAACTCCTCATCGTTGCGATTGGCCAATCGCAAGTGCCGAGGGATGATACGGGTCTTCTAGTTGTCACGCGCGGTATTACCAGGCAATTCAAGCACTTCAGCCGCCAGGTGTTCGAGGACGGCTGCCAAGTAGATGGGGGCTCCAGCACCAACGCGTTGAGCATAGTTACCCTTGCTCAAAAGAAGATGTACACGACCAACCGGAAACTGAAGACCAGCACAAGCAGACCGAGTCTTTGCCTTTGAGCGAGATTTTCCACCTTTGCCGCGACCACTCATGACTGCAGGTTAAGGTAGAGCTGTTATCCCTTATTTTATCGCTTATTTCTTCTATCCTAACTGGCTGAGTTTTAACACAGAACTTTACACATAATTGCAGCAGTTAAAGTTGCCACATTTCATGTGGCACACACAGGTAGAGAATAGAAAGAAGAAACGAGGCTTAGAAGGACTATTACAAGCAGAAACTTGCAGTAGAAAGAATAGTAACATAGAAAAACATAAACGTGTAGTGGATAAGGGAGATTACAAAGAGCGAATACATCTGAGCTAGTGAGAAAGAGTTTGAACCATATTTCCAGTAGTCTCTAGCCATAGGTTCTTAACATCATGAAAACCTCAACCTAGAAGTCTAAATCCTCCTTCCATCTACTTGTCTGAAACCCACAAATACAAACAGTATGCCTTGTCATTTCAATAGTATAGCAAACAGGCCTCAACTAATTAGTCACTGATCAAAACCTTTGTTGAAAAATCAGATTTTTGGAGAACTGTTAGCTTAATTAGTTCTCATATGCAATCTGAAGGGAGTATTGAATATTACACGAACGTCTACTTTGTTGCTGCTGCTAATGATGATGTTGAACTTTGAGGAGAAGGAGGAGGTAAAGAATCAAATGCATCCACTAAAAAGTAGATTTTTAGGCTTATTTGCAAGTAAATCAAAGTACTATTAGTTTGACCACTGACATGATGAATACTATATGTATAGGGAGATGTAGTGAGTCAGTTTATGTATAATGAAGAACAGAAGTAACATCATTTTGAGTTACCAAATATCGTAGGGCACACAAGATGGGGAATACAAACAGGGTGATACCACAGGGCAACTGAGAGAATAAATAAATGGAGGTCAGTGAAGATTTTCAGGATGTGGAAGGTGGTAAGGTGTTGACAACTTCATGCCATGTTAGGCATGTCAAAAAGAATTTCCCATCAAACCAAGCAGCCTATACCTACATACATGATCCAAGTCAAGAAACGATGACTTCATTGAGTAGTGTCATGTAAGAAAATATCACCGCCAAAAATATGCGCAGTAAATTATATATGAAATAAGATAGTTCAATTCTTTTGGGTAGCTTCAGCCTTGCATAACGCACCATCTCGACAACCAGTAATGTTAATTGTGATATCTATTTGCGGTATCCTACAGAGTTGGAGAAAAAAACACAATAAAAACTAATCGGAGATACAATACTGTACTGGTGTTGTACATTAGTATTCACACACCAACTACATTGAACTTTGGAAGCTAACAGTCAGCATGATAACTTTAATTCGAAACGTAGCTATTGGATCTGTTGAAATTTGATTGGTTTTATGGTTCGTTTTTACAGTGAACTGATAATCTTAGCCACTAACATTATTATCACTGTGAATTGTTGGTATTGGATGGTTGGAGGCAATCGGCCACAGGAAGCCTTGGACCTAGGTTTCGTGCTAGTTGGCACTCACCAGTCAGCAAGGCGTACCTGCAACCTTGAAGGAACTGATGTCCCTTCTGAGATTCGAACCCGCGTCACCAAGTGCTGCAGTCAGAGACGTTACCACTGAGCTATTCAGGCTCGCGACTGACCTCCTGTAGGACTGTGTTGGATATTTTTGATTGAACACTAGTCAGTAACTAGTGTAATGTGTCTAGTCCTATCTTCAGTGCAGACTGAATTCTATCAGTCATGTTTGCAATGTGGCCACCACGCTGGGTGGCTCGCCATTACGGTGCACTGTGAATTGTTGGTATTGGATGGTTGGAGGCAATCGGCAGGAAGCCTTGGACCTAGGTTTCGTGCTAGTTGGCACTCACCAGTCAGCAAGGCGTATCTACAGCCTTGAGTGCCAACTAGCACGAAACCTAGGTCCAAGGCTTCCTGCCGATTGCCTCCAACCATCTAATACCAACAGTTCACAGTGCACCGTAATGGCGAGCCACCCAGCGTAGTGGCCACATTGCAAACATGACTGATAGAATTCAGTCTGCACCGAAGATAGGACTAGACACATTACACTAGTTACTGACTAGTGTTCAATCAAAAATATTATTATCACTATTTTACAATTCTTTGTATGTGTATGATTTTACCCTCACTACAAATACCAAATAAGTAGTGCCACTAACAATACTGTAATATTATCTTTATAATTGTTTTTAATAACATTTGAAAAAAACTAGATGCAATATTTCATTAAACGCTGAAAATTCCACAGCAAATTATTAATAGTGTTTTGGAATAGAGCATTATTATTATTAACCAACATAAACTGGGTTGAAATTTCAATTCACTTCTAATTAGTGATTGACTTCAGGATGAGTTTGTCGGATTTCTGATAAGAATTGGTGAATAACAAGTTCCATTAAGTTCATTGTGAAGATATTCGACAATAACGACTATGCACAGACAGTGACAAAACGCTTGGTAGTCATAAGTCATAGAATTCAGACCTTCAGGTTGAATAATAGCTTGCTCACCTTTTAAACTGACTGAGTGTTATTCTTCACATTTGTGTGTGTGTGCATGGTTGTCAAATTTCCCTAGTTTTTCAGTGATACTTTACATGATATCAGTTGGAGATTACTCTGATTGTTTGAATTGGCTTCGCTAATGACCAATTCACAATTTCGATTACTTAATCGATTTCTCCAAGCATACTGAAAGGTTAGCACTAGAACTGTGGTAATCTAAATAAATACAGTTACACAAATTTAGTTACAAATTTTCAAAATGTGTTACCCAAGTGTATTTTACTTGTCAGATAAATTAAATCTTTATATTTTATTTTACTAAAAATTCATAAAGGTAAATAATTGCTTTAAATTAAATTTGTCTTTATGTAAAAGCAGAATTCGGGCATTGTGGCAGGGCATGATTCCATATTTCATGAGTTTATTTCATATGACACACACTAATTTTGTGGTGAGAGCTGTTTGCTAGCCAAAATTGGTAGACAGCAATTTACGTTAATGTTTACGTCCCATATCTCGGTCATGAGAAAAAAAACAAGAACAAAGACTAATTCAACAGCCAATAACAGCAGACTTTGCATTGGCGGATACGATTAGCAGATATTTGGTTTGACTTTCAAAGAAATGGCTACAAAGAGATGAGAAAACGACCAATCAGAAGACGCTGTTTCTATGCTAATAATAACGAATAATAATGTACATAAAAATATATAAATATCTCTTGATTTCCTCCGTACGTGATCTGTTGCCTTGCCCTTGTCTTCTGTCGATACAATATCTTAGTGATACCTGGATGTCGTCTCAAGCACAATTCATTGCTCAAATTGATGTGGTTATAAGGAATAAACTGTGCTCGAAATGTCATCCAGATAGATTTTAATACTGTGTTTTATACCAAATAAACTTATCAAATATGGAATTAAATGTGTCTTCGTTTCCAGTGAAAAACTGAAAAATCTGACACACTAAATGTTACCTGTCTTAACAGCTCATAATGTTTCCTCAGGGTCTGTGATTTGCAGATTGAAGCTCTGGAACCAATCCGCAAGTGACAATTTGTATAAAATAAAATAAGTTTTTTTTTACTTTTTGCAAAAGTGCTAACTGTCTCAACTGGACTGCTACTATTCTCATGATACAGCTAATGAGCATGTTTGGAACATGCTGACACTCTTTTTTAGTTTGAAGTACACTGAATTAATGATTGTAACTTCTGGCGATATTATTATTATTATTGTTCCCTTGGGTTCCTAGTGGAACATAGGGCTTCAGCTGCACGCCTCCACTTGCTTCTGTCTTGTGCTGTACTTTTCACTTGCATCCATGTTAATCCATACTGTTTCAGTTCCTCATCACACGATCTCCTCCATGTCACCCTTGGACGTCTCACTCGCCGCTTCCCTTTCGGGTTCCACTCGAGCGTTGGCCTGACGCGCGATGTCACCCAGCGGCTTCCTCAGCGAGTGTCCAATCCATCTCCACTTTCTCCTGCATATTTGTTGAGTGATTGGTTCCTGTTTTGTTTGTTCCCATAGCTTCTTGTTTGTGATTCTTTCCGGCCATCTGATCTTCAGTATAGAACGAAGACAGTTGTTGATAAAGGTCTGCAACCTGTTGAAAATATTCTTGGTGACCCGCCAAGTTTCTGATCCAACTTGTGGCGTAGGTATCAGAAATCAGTGTGAGAATATATTGAATAAGATAAATGGTAACTAGAAACCATTAAATCACTGGCCATATCATTATCATCTAGTTATTTCGCGTATTTTTTATTTCACTCCTTTATTATGATCAGTACTTCGAAAGACATCGAGTTAAAATAATCAAACATGTGTATTTCGATCTCTGAATCCTTCTACTTTGAATATGTATGGTGAATTCATGGAGTGTAATTCTTTCAGAAAATTAAATTATATATATCAGTTATATTTGTAATCTTACTTTTGAAATTTTATGTAATAGATAAACAAATTTCTGAAATTTACTCATATTTTTAGACCCGGAATTTCATTATGGATTATAAAAAACCCTATTACGCTTTGGTTAGCACTGTAAGTTTTTTTTCACTCAGTTGTTCTTACAATAATATAAAAATATTAATTCAGTTCATTTACACTTTTATCCGTACACTTATACAATAGTGACTGTGTAGTGACCAGTGTAACTTTCAAGTAGCACCTTATTTACTAAAGTTGACCATACCTATCCTCACCACTTTCTTATGTGACCTTCACCTACTGAATTTCATATAGAATAGTTAATTTTATTCAAGTATTGGTTTGTAGGGATTTGACTGATTGATTACAGGATTTCATCATGAGCTGACGTCGGTTAGAGAACCACTGGAAAACCTGCGAGTACTGGAAAGCTGTTTCGTCCGAGTTTGGAACTCTTCAGCACTACGCACATATCGGGGTTCGAACCCAGGACTTTCTGGTTACAAGGCTCACTGGAGACTGGCCCTATTCAGTTAGGTAGTTACCTGGGGTCATATTGGGAAGTGGTGACCAGTAGGGGGCAGCAGGTCGGGTGTGAGGACAAATACTCGCCGAAGATATTGGCTAGCGGTTGCGCTATATCATGAATTAGCAGAAGTTGGAATTCATGCACTGGCCATTGGATCGGGTTCCAGTGGCTTAATTGTCTACGAGCTTGCTGGCCTTATAACCAGAGGGTGGTGGGTTTGAAGCCAGGCAGTGGGTTCGTGCTGATGAAGAGTCCCGGACTAGGACGAAGTAGCTACTGAGTACTCCCAGATGGTTTTCCAATGGTTCTCTAACCCAGTCAGCTCATTATGAAATCCTGTAACCAGTTAATTTTATATTTTCAAGAGTTGATTTGTAAGGATTTGATTTATTTCTTCAAGTATGATAACGGATTGATATCATTTAGGGAACCATTGAAAACCAGCATGGAGTATTAGGCGGCTATTTCATTCTAGTTTGGGACTCATCAGCAGTACGCACCAATATGGTTTCGAACAGAAGACGTTCTGGTTATCACGTGACCTATTATTACCAATAAACCACTGGGACCCAACTCAGTGGCACATGTATGCCAACAGTATGCAGATAATTGAAAAAGAAGTTTCTTTGTCTGACAGATATTATTCACACGGCATTGTTTTACTAGTCAGCAATTATATTTTTGAAAAGATATGTCACACTTAAATTATCATTAAGTAAGGCGTCAAGAATGTAAATATTGACAGATGATATCATTTTGTGGTTTCTCTACAATCCTTTTCCTAAAAGCATTATGGTCGACATAAGAAATTACAAATCAGGAAGATAAAATGTATACAATGAGTAATTTGGTCAGGTAATCTTATACTACCTCGAAAAGCATTAAGTGGTGAATAGCGGTCAGAAATAGTGGTCATTAGAACTGTAAACACTTAAAAATAGGAGTATTGTTCATAAGAGCTAGAGATTTTTCTTTGCTTCTTTTCAGACTCCTAACTCTGAAATATGATTTGTACACACTCTGAATCTCTTATTCTTATGCACGATGTTTCTTTTATTTTAAGCGCTTACACTTTTCATCATAATCATTTCTGAACAATATTCATCATCTAATGTTTTTAGATTATGCTGGACTGCTTAACCAAGCTTCTCAGTTTATCATGGGTTTCATAAAAGTGTTCGATACTGGGAGCATAAACAGAATAAAAACTTGAGTAACACCAGGCTTTAGTCTGGTTTTCCTTTTCAACTCACGTTAACAAAGAAGGAATTCATAAATTTAAGATGATAGTCTCTGACTGTTTACTAATCTACTCATACCTGAGCCACGAAATTTTGATTTGAGGCATCGCATTTGGTCGGAAGATATAATAAAGTATTCTTAGATAAAGTGAAACAATCTACATTACAGTACATATTAATATATGTGCATAACTTGGACACAGTGATAGTACGTAATTCCATATTAGCTTGTTTATTAGATATATCACACAGTGAAACAGTATTATTTACTAAATAACAAAGTTTCGAACAAAATTTATTCTTCATAATTATATCAATCATAATCACACGACCTCGAAACTTGAGTTTTATAGTCTTCTTTGTTCTCCCCTATTTGTCGTAGGGGTAGTAGAATTTTCCAGATTTCCGGGACAGGTGTTGAATCATTTCTATTACACGTGTTTGCAGTCGCTTCGATAAACAAAGTTTCCGTCATCAACCCCTCCCTCCACCTTGTTACATTAGATTTTAAAACTGTCATCTTATCCCATCCTATTTTATGGTAGTGTTGTGTGTAATTGCATGTAGTAAGTGGTATAGCTGAACTATTCTCCAGATTTCTTATTTTATTCGGGTCAACCAATCTAGATTTTGCTAGGATTTTATGTTCAGCTAGTCTGACTACCCTTGTTCTACTACTCTGACCTATGTATTTGACCTGATAATCATTCCAACAGGGTATTAGATAAAATAAATTGTTTTGTTTTAAAGGCTCCACAGGATCCTTTAACCAACAAAGCTTGTTTCTAATTGAGTTTGTGGGTTTGAATGCCATTTTTATTCCTGCCTTGTTAAGAATTCTGCGTAAGGCTTCTGAGATTCCTTCTGTATATGGAAGTACGACTGATGGTTTGGATTCCTTATTGTTGGTGTCGTCATTAATATTATTATTATTATCACTATTATTATTATCATTATTATTGTTATTATCACTATCGCTACTATCATTATTTACTTTATTTTTACATTTCCTTACATATTTCCTGACTAGTTTATCCGGTAATTAATAAGTTTCAAGGCTTCTTTTATATGTATCAGTTCCTGTTTTTAGATTTTCTTTGGTACTACTTAGTTTTTGTGCTCTATTACTTAAACATTTCACCAATCCTATTTTCACTGACATAGGATGGGATGGTCGGGAGTCAAAATGTCTGTTTGAATGTGTGGGTTTCCTGTAAACACTAGTGTTTAACTTCCCATATTCTTTCCTTTTTACGCTACAATCTAACATCAAAAGCTCCCCTTCCTGACTTTCCAATTCATAAGTGAATTGAATTGCCTCCAGCTTTGAGTTAATGTGTTCGAAAGTTTTGAAGTTGTGTGATTATAACTGATATGATTATGAAGAATAAATTTTGTTCGTAACTTTGTCATTCAGTAAATAATACTGTTTCACTGTGTGATATATCTAATAAACAAACTAATATGGAATTAGATAACAGTACAGTGGAATGAAAGAGAATAAATAAATCTTGAGGTTATCCAATAAATCAGTCTGTTCACTCCTTCACTGTTTGTATATTATAATATAAAACAGAATTGATTTTCTCAAAACGTGTCAGACAATGATATACACTTTTATTATGTATTCAGTAAATTAATCTAAATCATAAAGAGTATATTTACCTACAACAATTAAATATTGAAACATTTTACATGTTCATGTTTATTTTATTATTATTATTATTCTGTTTTATTTTGTAAGTCATAAAAGTAGAAGTCCATGTTGACGTGTCCTTCCACACGTTAGATGACTAGTGGCAATCGTCAGCAAGCCTTAGACCTAGGTTTCGTGCTAGTTGGCACTCACCAGTCAGCAAGGCGTATCTGCAACCTTGAAGCAACTCATGTCGCTTCTGAGATTCTAACCCGCGTCACCCAGCGCTACAGTCAGAGACGTTACCACTTAGCTATTCGGGCTCGCGATTTACCTCCTGTTGGACTGTTTGGATACTTTTATTGGACAGTAGTAACTAGTGTGATGTATCTAGTCCTTTGTTTTAATGCAGATTGAATTATATCAGTCAGGTTTGCAATGTGGCCACGATTCTAGGTAGCTCGCCATCACGGTGCACTTTCAATTGTTGATGCTGGATGATTGGAGGCGATCGGCAGGAAGCCTTGGACTTAAGTTTCGTTCTTCGTTCCTTCCACATCTAGTGAGTAATTTCAACTCTAGCGATTGTTAGTTGATTTTAGTTGTTAATAAAAATGGGAAAAAGTTGAATGAGGGCTTAAGAATCAGAAATTATTTCATTTTATTGCCATTAGCCAAAATCATACATTTCTGTTCATATATATATATATATATATATTGGAGATTTTGTGAAGTTTTATCTACTCCAACAATCTTAATTTACTAGTGTATCTCAGTATGACATCCTATCGTTTGACTTTCATGGACGTGAGGGGAATAATTTCGCTTCATTTCAAATAAGATTAATCTCCCCAAGTGAATTTTCCATGGTTAAAAGCGAACAAATCTAATTGTTTTCTTTCTAAAGTATTAACGCCAAGTTGAGTGAAAGAAACATACACTTTGGAATAGTGAGTTTGAAGTTTATTCTAGTCAGCAGATAGGTTATTTCGATGTCAGTTCCACCACGAACAATTGAAAACCAAGTTGCACTGGGTAGTTGTTTAACCCTGTCTTGGGACTCTTCAACAGTGCACACCCATGACTACATTTGTAACCAAACCCAAGAACTTCGGGCTACAGAGAGAGCCTATTGACCATTCGTTCACCAGGTATAAATCTAACAACCTGAAAATTCTAAATACTGCCCATTCTCTGCTTCGCTAAAGCATATTAAGATGGAAAATTTCGTACTTGTATAATTTGTGACTTAAAATCTAGTAATAGCAAACAATGAAATCTCTTTATTTATTTATTTTTTTCTAGAGGAATATTTATTATGGTCTACATTCCTTTGTGTTGCGTTGAAAGTTTCAGGAGATCGTACCCAGCGAATTTAATTGCACTGATTATACTAGTAAGTAAATAGGATCAGTGTTCTTAGCTTTTGGTTTCGTTAACTTCACGTAGATTATAAAGAAGTTAGATTGTGTTATTTCTAAGACAATTTAAAATCATGCAAACGATATCTGTCTTAAAGTTAACCAGTAAGTCACATCATATGAAATTGCTTGGAAAATGTATCCATATGTTCTTAAGTGATTCACTTATTCAATTCAGTTTTCCATAAACAGTTAGACGTCACAATGTTTGTTTAAATTTAACACTTCTTCGTCCGAACTGCTGCTTATTATGGTTATTTTTCATTCAACTACTCATTTGGTAGTTAATAGTATGCTAGCTTAATAGTAAATTTCTTTTAGGTCATGGTAAATAATTCTTCTGGCATAATTTTTAGTGTTTTTCATTAACAGGAATGGACTCAAGTAAAATTAAAAGCAGCTGAAGGAAGATAATTTATTAGAGACAAGAGCTACATAAGACTCTTCTTGCTAACGAAATTACACAACAGTAGCTCACTGATACAACTTTGACAATTACACACAATAATGCACAAGTGTCTCATGAATAATGTCAGTTGACAAGAAATTTTAAATCGTAAAACCAATACCGACGCATTTTGATTGGAGACTAATAACTAGTGTGATATGTCTAGTCATTTCTTTCGTTCAAACTGAATTATATCAGTCAGGTTTGCAATGTGATCACTATTCTAGGTAGCTCGCCATCACTGTGCACATTGATTTAATAATATTAGATGGTTGGAGGCAATCGTCAGGAAGCCTTGCTGATGAATGACAACTAGCACGAAACCCAGGTCCAAGAATTCCTGCCAATTGACTTCAACCATCCAATATCATCAATACTGAAGCATTTTCACTCACTGTTCAAAAATGTGAACATGTATGCCTGGTCATCATGACAGTTAATGATAACCTATTGAAGCTGCAAACAAATTCATACAAGTCAGCATTAAATTACGCAAATTATCATCGAATAAAGTTTTAAATTCATATTTTATAGTTGTCAGTACTTGCTAAATTCACCCAGTAATACATATGAAGAAGGTATCCAGTTAGTTAAGTTTTTATTCACATTGTTTCTCTTACATCTTATAAAAAGTTATTATTAGTTGCTAATTTTGGAAACAGATCTCATAAAATTTAATTGGTCGATGGTGACTAGCAGTGGAATCCAGGATGCGCATTTCGTCCTATTTGGGACTCGTCGTCTGGATGTACCTGCATCTCTTAAGTTAACAGAAAGTTGATAAATAGATTAAAACACAACACAAAATTGACACCTAGGAATAAGAAAATCCCTGATATGTTGTTTGTGATCTTTCCCAAACTTAACAAAATCAAAACCTAAAAGGTAACCTGAGTTAATAGTTAGTTTTGATTTAATTATGAAGCAGTAAAGTAGATGATAGGTATCTTGCAGAAACTATATTCTTCCACATAGCAATGTTATATTTTCTCGAATTCTTTTGTGATAGTTTGCCTTTACAGCAGTGAGTATAATTCTATGTTTGCAATGCAATAAATATATGAAAGGTCTCGAATAATGTCCAGTCTAATAATGATGATAATAATTAATAATTTAGGATTGAATTGTGAAGAAGTAAAGTGAAATCTTCACATTTCCATATAGAATTTCTGTAGATACACAGATACGTTACTCTGAATGCGGTTGAGAATTACTGACTTTTTTTGACTTTTCTATTCATCCATGTGGTCTCAGATAACATTCAATGAAGTTGCCGACTCAATAGGATCATCCCTAATTTCTTTTTGAACATTAAATCACTTTTGCACAGCTTATGGTGGTGTCATGTTACTGGACAAACGTCTTCAGCATATTTTTAACCTCCTTACCTCTGTTATCTGTGACTGCGCATTAAAGTGTTAACTGTTCAGTCACCTCCTTTCAGCTGATACAAGTGATGCTTTCAAGACATCAAAAACCTGTAAGCTTGTATATCATCTGTTTGAGTCGACTAATTGAACTAATTAGTTATCCAGTAAGTATTGTCAATAAGCTGAGGCAACAATAAAGATTAGTAAATATATGGTACTATATTCCTTAGTTGTAGGACGATGGTAGGACATATTAATATATTACAAACTTTATTTCTTTACCAATTCATGATGTAATAACAGCATGATTATAATCTTAGTTATTTGTAACTGATTGGAGAACGACCTTAAAATAGAACAGAATACATCCCACCAGTTTTGTGAGTATATATATAAGGGGAGATTGATATGATTCTACTATGTAGTGAAATTTTTGGAAAATATTTAGTTCAGCGTCAAACAATAAGCTAAATTATTTCAGCTTAATGAACCATACTTCAGCTTTAAAATTCCCAAATTAGTCGTGTAAAAGAAAATACGTTCAGCGAAGAGTTACTCATTTCACCGACATCATTCTCAAACTGTACAATCACATAGATGCAGTAAATTTTCTTAGCAACAAAAGGAATATTACCAAAGATCTGTCATTTGAACTGCAAGTTCGATTTCAGATAAGAAATCACGTAATGTAGAAAGCGTTAATCAGGTAGAAACTAAAATCAAATTAATTAATTGAGTTCAGTGACGTCACACAATTGACGAGGTTGAATAAAATTCAACTAAGATTTGAACGAGAGTCAAGTTAATAACAGTGGTAATAAAGGGGAGAGATTAAATGGTAGGGGGTAGGTGGGGGAAGAAAGTAATACAATTAAGAAACAAAAAGTAAACAAATTGTGTATTTGGTGTTGAGATAGATTAGATCCATTGTAGAATTAATGACTGGACAAACTTCTTCTGTATGCAGAGTTCAGGATTAAACATGTGAATTGCCATTGCGCCTGTGGTTTGAAGAAGTTTGATTTATACTCTTTTCGTGTGATTTCCACGTATTCTGTAGATGACTCTGAAGTTCCTTTGTGGGTTAACTTGGTGTCCAGCTTCGATCAGGTGTTCCAGGATAGAGCTGAGTCCAGGGGATCTTTTTTCTCCTTTATAAAACCATGAGAGTGAGTGTTCGATGATAAGTTTGGATAGAAAACGCTGGACGCGGCTGAGATACCTACAGGAGCAGGTGAATTGGTAGATGCACACTGATGAGGCCAACAGTGGTAACTTATCCTTCACGTTCATGCGAATCACTGGTTTCGTAGAGAAAGTTATTCGAAGTTCAGCCGCGAAGAAGGTTTTCTTCAGTGAGCGGGACAGGCATTTCTCAACATTTCTGCTGACGAATCTCCATTGAATTGTAGATTCAAGTAGAGAGGATTTTTTTGAGAGAAATTATTACATTTGGTTTCTCAACTTCTCTACATGTTTCAAAAGAAGAGCAGAAATTCTTATTCACGGAAGTCGTGTCTTTTTCCAGCCACTGACAGATTCCTGTTAGACCACTTGTATTACTTCTACTTCATTGCACAAGTCCTACTTACGATTACAATTATCTTTTAATACAAAAGAAATATATATACTATTATCTTTGGAAGTCTAATTTCTAAACTGTATTCTCTTTATTAACAGACAATTGCGCAATCTTTTCTATTGGCAGTGATTTCGTGTGCCTATTCAACGTATAATGTTTTGACAGCAGTTGGAATAACTTTTATGATTTGTCTATGTGCTACTATATTCGCTCGTACAACCAGCATTGATTTTACTAAATGCTGGCTTGTTCTCTTCATGATGTTAATTGCACTCATATTTATGGGTATAGCAAGCATGTTTGTTTATGCGTATTACGGTAGAAATAATGTAAGTTGATGTTAATATTACACATATTTATTTATAATAATCTATTATTATAACAAATGTGCACAGAAATGTATATATTTTATGTACTATTATTAAAATTATTATCCGACAGGGAAAGTTAACTACTGTTTAACTTGTAAAGTACTGCTAGTGCTTTCGATAAGCTACATTTTACCAGTCCTAACTAAACGCAATTTACCTATGTACCCAATAATTCAGCACTCTACCTAAACTGTAAGTATTGACTACAAAAGGCAAATTAAAAAGATTTGGTTAATAAGGAAAAGTGCTCAGGTGCACCGTTTGTTTTGAGCAAAAGATTATCCAAGAGAAGGGTTCAGAACTTATCTAGCGGATATGGGTTTATTACAAACTCAAGGAATGTGTGTATTAACAACACAGCGGACAAGCGCGAAATGGCGTTGGAGTCAGTTCGTATATGTACAAATTAAAATAAAGTCTTTAAACATTAAAATTTGAACTACAAACTGATTGGTACAACAAAGATAGGTTTCATTCACCTATTTAGGGCAGTTAAACAGCAATGATGCAGATTAAAATCTCTGAAGAGTTAAGGTAGGAAGAAGTAAGACACTTAGAACAGATTGTCTGATCAGTTACTACTAAATACTCTCCGTCAAGTGTAATGTCAACTAATATTGGAACAATCAAAGGCAAGACACGGAAGCCAAAGTATATTTTCAAGTGATCAAACAGATATATATATATATATATATATATGATTGTACAGCTTGAGAATGATATCGCCAAAAAGAGTACCTCTTCACTGAACGCCTTTCCTTTTATGAGATAGGTCACACAGTGAAGTGAAATAGTAGCATATACTGGATGATATGTCTATCTAATTAACAAATTATTATGGAATAATGTTAACTGAACTGATTCACTAATTAAATGATGAATTCATTTCAAAATAATTGTTACTAACTACAATTCTAGTGTATCATATGTATTAACAACAAATAAAAGCACCGTTCTCTTCTTTTACAGGTGTTTCATGTGATATACGGAGGATTCGGTGCTGTTGTATTTACTCTTGTAAGTCACTTTTTAAATATATATTCAATAGTTTTTAATGCGTTTAACCCATGTCATTTGTGTTTATATATTATAACCAGTTGATTATCAGACTTGATTATAAGAACAAACAGTTCGACGAAGAGTCTCTTTTCGGTGAATTCATTCACTTAGTTGCACAATGGCAATTACATATAATTATTTGTATGTGTGTGCACATTAGGTTTGTCAGACAGGAATCACAATTACTACTATATTATTGTTTCCTTTAGTACTTAGAGGAACATAGGGCTTCAGCAGCACGTCTCCATTGCGTTCGGTTCTCCAACAACGTTTTCACCTTGCTCCACGCCTATCCACATGCTTTCATCTCCTCTTCACATGACCTCCTCCATGTCACCCTCACACTGACGACCAACTCGCCGCTTCCCATTCAGGTTCCACTCGAGCGATGGCCTGGCGTGTGATGTCACTCACTTGATGGTTTGTTTTCTCATAGTATGGCCAATCCACCTCCATTTCTTCCTGCATATTTGTTGCACAATTGGTTCCTGCTGGGTTGGTTCGCTCATTGCCAGAGATCCCTGTTGCTGATCTTTTCTGATCATCTGATCTTGAGTATTGAGCGAAGACAGCTGTTGATGAAGGCCTCTAGTTTGTTTGAAGTGCCCTTCGTGATACTCAGTGCAAGTCTCTCATCCGCATAGTAAGTAGCACTGACTTCACATTGGAGTTGAAAATCCTGATTTTATTTTTCATGCTGCTGATCTCTACACAGACTTGAGAGTAATGGAAGGTTGCCTTGCTTCCCCGATCCTCGTTTCGATATCCTCATCAGTTGTTCCACCTGTAGTTGAAACGATGCTTTCCAGGTCGGTAGGTGAAGGAGGTTGCTTCTTTCACATTCCTCCCATTTGTTCTGATTGTTGTCTGTTGCTGTTGGCCAGGAATCTTCATCGCCTCTGTTTTCTCTATTTTCAGCTGAAGGCCTATCTTTGATGCTTCTTCTGCCAATTACAATTAGTTAGGGTTATTGTTTACGTCAAGTGATCCACAACGGAAAACAGCCAGGCGTTTGGAGTAAACACAGGAGTCAGACAAGGGTGCTTATTATCACCAATGATATTCCTAATTGTGGTGGACTGGATAATGCGTCAGACAGTGGGAAACGAGAAGACAGGGATATCCTGGACCGACGCGAAGAATCTAGAAGACCTGGATTTCGCGAGTGGATGATTTATGTTTGATGTCACACAAAATCGAAGACTTACAAGCGAAAACTGACAAACTGGTCGAAGAAGCAACAAAGACAGGACTCCAGGTGAACATAGACAAGACGGAGGTTATGAAAATAAACAACCAACAACAACAGCAGCAGCAGCAACATCCAGCGCCAATCACCATCAACGGGAGGGATTTGAAAGAGGTTACTTCATTCACTTATCTAGGGAGAATTGTCTCAACTACAGGAGGAACGGACGAAGATGTCAAATCGAGAATCGGGAAGGCGAGAAACACATTCATCAACCTGAAACCAATCTGGAAATCTTCGTCACTCAGCAGCATCAACAACAAAATTCGGATTTTCAATACAAACGTCAAGTTAGTCAGTTCTTCTATACGGATGGATCAGAAACTTGGCGGGTCACAAAGAATATTTCCAACAGCCTGTTGCAGACCTTTATCAACAACTGTCTTCGTTCTATACTGAAGATCAGATGGCCGGAAAGAATCACCAACAAGAAGCTATGGGAACAAACAAAACAAGAACCAATCGCTCAACAAATATGCAGGAGGAAGTGGAGATGGATTGGACACTCGCTGAGGAGGCCGTTGGGTGACATCGCGCGTCAGGCCAGTGCTCGAGTGGAACCCGGACGGGAAGCGGCGAGTGGGACGTCCAAGGGTGACATGGAGGAGATCATGTGAAGAGGAGTTGAAACAGTATGAATTAACTTGGACGCAGGTGAAAAGTACACCAGAAGACAGAAACAAGTGGAGATGTGTAGTTGAAGCGTATGTTCCACTAGGAACCCAAGGGAACAATAACAATAATAATTGTTTATGTCACCAAAATGTTCCAAAAAATATGGAGAATAATCACATTGTAACTAGGGTTGTGTCTGAAGATTACTAAATACTGACTGGGATCACGTAATATACCCTTCATTATTATCTTATTACTGGGAATCTTCCATGCTACGTAGCCCCTGTCAATACTTAGTAGTCTTCAGACACAACCCTAGTTACAATTTAATTATTCACCATATTTTTTTGAACATTCTGATAGTGTGAAGAATAAGCTTAACTAATTGTGGTTCTTGTCTGACGAGCCTAATGTACACACACACACACAAATAATTATAAATAATTGCGATTGTACAACTAAGTGAATGGATTCTCCGAACAGTTTGTTCTTATATTCATATCTGGATGGGTAGTTTTCGCGGATTATCAGATAAATGATGAACATAAATAGCACTGAACATGAGGAAAAATGAATATTAGAGTTTTCTAATTCGCTGTTATAGCACAAAAGAAGTGGAAGTTTATACGAGGAAAGAATATGAAATTCTATCAAATATCGCTCATTAAAAGCTGAAACAAAGAAAATGAAATAAGACAGTCTGATGTAAAAAATAATTCATGACAATACCTTACTTGATAATATCGATTTAACAAAAATATTCCCTAGAAATCATTGTTCCTTGTCCTCCAATTATTACAAGGATTTGAATTAAATCATTTACATTTTCACCTATTTATCAGAAAACCTTTAGTGAATATAAAATGGGTATATAAATTGTTGAAATACAGATGTTGTCACCGAATCACACGATAAAAAGACGCAATATGATATACTGATTGTTAAATATTCAAGGAAGGGGGATTTAGAGTGAGACGGGTTTCGTATTTGCTGGAATCCAACAGTAAAGTGTAAGTGTCCATTTAAAAATATGAAGAGTTGCTTACGTTCACTTAAGTAAATGTACAATCTTAATATACTACTGATGAGGTGTCATAAAATAAATTCAGATCTTACTGTGGCACGAATACAGAAGGCCAGATTGCCGTCATTAGCCAAAAATAAGCACGCTTACAAAAGTATCATAGAAAGTGCACCAGACTTGAAGTATCGTGAAACTCTACTGTTCTCACCATTTGTAAATCTAACGGATTTATATGTAAGTTGTTGTAACTATGATCGAAGCGAAAGCAGTAAATTGCAGTCCCCCCCCCCCTTTAGTTTCATCCATACTAGCTTGATATACAAATACTTACTCATGGAGAATCAAGTTTTAAAACATTCTTGACAGACATGCTGCTAAAACGGGATCTATACAGTTCATTCTTGGAGAAAATAAACAATCTATCTCCCAGAATCCAGTTTACTTCAGAAGCAGAATCACACGTCGGTGAACTAACATTTCTGGACTACCTAGTTAAGAGAAGGGAAAACGGACACTTTATTATACGTATATTCAGGAAGAAAAACCACTCCAGTAAATATTTAGACTTCGGATCATCACATCCCATCAGCGCAAAAGTATCAGTTGATTCAAGTTTTCTTAGATGAGCACAATGTTTGATAACGGATAAGAAAAAAAGAAGAAAAAATATCAAAAAACTAATGAGACTCTCAAGCAAAACAACTACCCAAAGAACTTCATCAACAAAATCAACACTGACATTAAGTACGGTCGAAAACGTATTCCGAAAACGTGGACCTCAACAGTTGCCATTCCATATAGAGTAGAGACATCAGAAGAGTACTCAATAAGCTCGACATCAGAGTTTTCTTCAAAACATCAAATACACTGAGAAACAACCTTGTCCGTGTAAAAGACCAAATCTCTAAAGATCCTCTATCTATTTCTGTCTGTAAAAGAAAATGTTTGGAATGTGATGCGATATACATCAGAAAAACATCACGAGAAATCAAAATTAGAAGAAATGAACACCGTAGAACCTTTGTTCGACCACCAAGAAATATAGTTGAACTATAAAACCTTGAAAAATCATCAGCCATAGGTCTACACGCTATAGAATCAGGCCACAAAATTGATTTTGACAATACTGAAATAATCCAGAAAAATTTCAGAAATCCCAAAGAACATCTAATATCAGAAGCACTTCATATCAAGTGGAATCCAAATGGTCTGAATAGGAATGATGGACTAAAACAGAATCTGACCTGGTTACAACAGACCCCACCCCAACGAAATGACAAAATCAACACGAATGTGATAAGCAATTTCATTATGTAAACACACGCTGCTTTTATAATTTTACACACTTATCAAATCCAACAATCTACACCTGGTTTTGTTATCTTTACCAGTTGGCCAATTTGACAACGAAAAATGACCCCATACTGAGGAACGATGATTAAGTTGTTATATATAAGCTGAGATTTTGTAAATTCTGGTTTAATAATACTTTGATAAAGCTATTAGCAGAAGCATGAAATACCGGAACGTCAGTAAAAACAGCAATATCGTCTTGTTTTTCATTCACTGGGTAGTACAAAAAACCTTTATTATGATGAAGATGTGATTGAGAAATTATAAAAAGCCAAGTTTTGAATAGAAGTAAGTTTGACTGTGGCAGTTTTAAAATATGTACATAAAATTGTCACTTTTTTTTATTTGCTAACAACAGCTATCCACACTTTACGAATTAACTTTGTTCTATTTTCTTTTTTTAAAATTTTCTTTTAACTACCAAGTATTTGATATATGATACTCAACTACTGATTGGTGGACGAACGTATTCACTTAATCCAGAAGAATACATTTTTGGCACATTAGTACTCTACATTGATATTATAATGATATTCACGTATTTAATGAAATTAATTGGCGGAGAATATTAATTAATCAATGGTTACTCAACCGGTACATCACTTTCCATAAAAAAAGGGAACCAAGAACATTGAAATGGAAGGTAATCAAAATTTTCAAGACAGAAATAATAGTAAAAAAAAGGTGTCGAATACAATTCATTTTCTCTTATTTGTGAATTACATAATTTTGATTTAATGTCTAAGACTAGATAGAAGCTGGCTGATGTGCGAAGTAAATTTATATGAAATGAATTTTTGAGACTACTGTCTCGTAAACTTAAGTGACGTATTTAAGGCTTCTATCTGATGCATAGTGAACATACCAACGTTTGAATTTCAACATGATCGTTTTATATTTTAAGGAGAGTAAGTAATATTACTGAAGCCAGATATAAGTAGAAATGTCAGTACCTACTGAGGTAGTGATAAGTTGGTAACAGACATCCCTTGAACAAATACTTTACGCCTCGGTCTTCGAATATTTTCGGCTTCGATATGTCGAGAAAGAATCTGATATGTCAAGCTGATTCCCTGTATCAACTAGTTGATAAGTTGTGGCACCATCAAACGAACCCGGACCTCTGAAGCGTGGAGTCCTTGGCACTTGTTCAGCAATCATAGTAGACGACCGGCTTTCTATTCTTCCTATGAACTTGATTCATCACGTACGCGTGAATGTATAATTACAACTAGAGTGTGAAATCGGTCTCATCAGGACTGTTTTAGTGCACCTGCTTTTGTACGACAGACCAGTTTAGCGTCTAGATAGGTTCTCAAAATTGTACATTTTATCCGTTACCTAAACTTTTTTTAACCTCATCACAAATTTGTGCAATAATTATTTCCTACACATTTCTCTATGCGCCTTATATCTTCTTAAGCTTCTTCAGAATAATTCCTTACTGCTCTCTGGTGCAGTGACCTTGATAACCCCAAACTAAAGTAGTTGGTATTGATTTTGCAATGCCCATTTACGTCATATGGTAAATGAACAACGGCCAATGAGGGCATCCAAAAGTTATGCTATGTAGTTTCCTAAATTAGAAGGATGCATAGAATAACACTAATAAGTTACAAACAGGACAATTCACTCGTTAACTTCTATAGCTTCCTTCGAAAACTTACCCATATATACTTCACACACTACAAGTGAAGAATTTGACGTACATTTCAAGCTCTAAGTACTGGTTGAAGTCAGTAAAGTAATGGTTTAAAAATAAATTCTAGTGGGAAGTTGTGACCAGTGGGGTACAGCAGGTCGGGTGTGAGGACAAATACTCTCCGAAGGCATTGGCTAATGGTCACGCTATGTCATGAATTGAAATAAGTTGAAATTCATGGGCTGGGTCCCAGTGACCTAATGGTCTACGAGCTCGCTTTGTAACCAGGTCCCGGGTTCGAACCCCGGTGGGTGCGCACTGATGAAGAACCGCAAACTAGGACGAAGCAGCTGTCAGTACTCCCTGGTTTTCTAATGGTTCTCTAAACGATGTCAGCTCATGATGAAGTCCTGTAACCAATCAGTCGAATCTCTACAAACCAATACTTAAAAGACCGCTAGAGTTTAGAATTTCTCATCAAATGATAGCGCTCCTTAGCATAAGAAGTATATCCGGTAAGAAATAAATACATTGACTTAATCAGCATATAGTGTTGTAGTCTAACTCTGAAATATAAACAAAAGAGGCTCCTGACACCATTTTCGCACTTACAAATATTCACCAGGGACTTTACTAGAAATGGCTAACACTGTGGATGAATGAATTATGCATGCCACTCAATAGTTTCATAATTGTAAATGTGGCCATCTAACTTAAAGTGCTGACTAAAACTCATTGATTGATGTGCACTGTCATCAAGGGCTTACTGCTGACAGACTCCCGTCTACCATACTTAAGTGTACCGTCGTCACTCAGTCTTTCAACGAATTCGCACACCTAGAACTAGACAACTAGTTATCATTTCCATGCATACGATGTAGCTATGAGACATCTGGGATGCTCAAGAGTTAAACGAAATGCACATAGAACATAATTTCTCAGTGTCTTGGAAAATAGAATTACTAATCCGGAAGGTCACAACCTTGCGTACCAGTGGTTTCGTAGCTAGCAGAAATGAAACGTGCTGCACAATTAGATACATTTAGATGGTTACAGAAAAATGTATATAGTGATCATTCAGTGAAACTAAGAGATAATCCAGTTTAGGTGAATCCCATAATAAAAAGGCACAAACAGTGAAGTAAATTTTCTTTTCGACGATTCATTTTCATGAAGGAACTTCTCAGATGTACGTTCAATATCCAGTTCAAATTCAATGAAAAGTTCTGTGTACAGAAAGAAGGGGTACCATGGGGTCTCCTCTCGGTCCACTTCTAGCCGACTGCTTCATGGCGAGTCTTGAAAACAACATCCTCGATCCCTTGATAAGTCAACTGCACTTATACCAGAGATACGTAGATGACACGTTTATAATCTGTGATTTAGATTCTCTCCTCAAAACCTTCAATGCAGCGCATCCATCAATAAGTTTCACCTTAGAACGATAATTGAACAACGCATTTCCATTCCTTGATGTACTACTCACCAGACGACACGACTGTACAATCCAAAGATCAATATACCGCAAGCCAACATGAACTGGACAGTTTATCAACTTCCAGAGCTTTGTCCCACTAATCCGAGAGAGAAACCTGGTACGTACGTTGTGTTCAATGATCAGAAAAATCTGCTCGGGAGACATGGTAGAGAAAGAATTAAATTTATTACGCAAAACCCTACTACAGAATGGATATCCACCAAGATTTATTGACAAAAACATGAAGGAGAAGCCTCCGGTGTCAAACATCGCAACGGTTCCTAAGAAAACTCTCTTCATAAACGTAGAATTCAAAGGTGATGTCGCAGCGGAAATTCTCAGAAACCGCCTTTCTAAATGTCTGAAGAAGACATTTCCAACAGCCACTCTCCATATCACATTCTCCTGCAGACAGTTAATCCAGTCTAACGCTAAGGACAAGATACCGCTTTTGGCCACCTCAATGTGTATTTATCAATTTACTTGCTCGTGTGGAGCAAAGTATATTGGCCGTATTCTGGAACACTGCCCAGCTTGGTTATCCAAAGAAGAAAAGAAGAATAACAACAGCTCGATCTTCGATCACCTTGTCATCTCTGGACATCGAGCACCCCCACATAAATGCTTCAGTGTTACACAGAGTCCCTCAATAGCGTACAAAGGGACTTCGGATACGCCATCTGTACATAGCTACAGCATTAGCTATTCGAGATCTGAAACCGGACCTCTGCATCCAAAAGCGATACATACATTCTCTCGCCTTACCATGGCCAGAGTAAAGTTCTCACCACAATTTTGCTTCTTTCCTTTATTATGTAAGTTCACTATTATTACTTTATTTTATTAATACTTTTATTATTATTATTGTTCCCCTCATCCACATTTTATTACCACTCTATTACTGTTTATTAATAACATTGCTTTTTCATACATATTTTTTACAAAAACACTTTATAGCCTTTCCACTAGTTCCTGTCCATTTTACACGAGTTTGTTGATTATTCATTATCTCACACTTATTACGTCATGCCAACTCCTGCCCCTTACCTAACTTACAATTAGTCATCACTTCTTACACCTTACATTATGTAATACAATTTTCCAAGGACAAGATTTACCAGTATCTGATTGCTCTAAAGATTTCTTTGTTAATTATAATTACGATTGAAGAGCTCATGAAAATGAATCGTCGAAAAGAAAATTTTTTTCTCTGTTTGTGCCTTTTTCTTATGACTCAATATGGGAATATTTCGTTCATTGAAGAATCCCATAATATTGTTTGCATGCAAATCCTTTTCCATTCAGATAAACTGATCACGCTACAATATCACATTTCCGTAATCTGAGATTCTTATCACTATAACAAATCCTTGTAAAAAGAGACAAGTGTTCGATGCCGTTATAGTCTGATCAACTGTTCAAATTCCTCAAAGTAGTAATCACTTGAAGGTCACTGCGACAGTATGTGTATGAACTGCCTATAAAGTGTGTGTATTAGGACGACTTTACTCACTGAATTATATATATATATATTACGTTGGAAAGCGTGTCACCAAAGGATTTTACTATCAAAGACAGCAGCAGACAGAGATGGCAGAATACATAAGTGTTATACATTTTCAGCTAGAAAAACCATGTTTCAAAATTTTCCAGTGGAAGCAACTATTTGAAAGATGTAAAACCCACAGGAACACTCCGAGATGTGATACAAGTAGTCAACAATGTATTACACAGCATATTTCAGAACAGCTTAGCAAACGTCGAAATCAAGATGGTAACACGCAAAAGCCTCTAACCCTTAGGTAAATAATAATGTTTGCGAAACACATTTAACCAGAGAGGAGTCTGTCTGTTTTCGACATTCTTCATGATCGGTCGGTTTTCGACATAGAACTTTGCACATATGTGCGGCAGTTCAAGTCGCCACACTCCATGTAGCACACAAAGCAAGAGGAGAAATGCATAATAAAGACAGTAAACAGAGGTGTGAGACAAAGGAATAGTAATAACGAAGAACAAAACAGTTTAATTGGAAATCATAAGTCACAAGGAGTGGATGCATCTGCGCCAATGAGAACGGTTTTGAGCCATATCACCAATTATTTCCAACCATTGGTTTTCATCGTCCCGAGGACCCCAACCAGGAAGTCTACACCTTCCTATGTGGCTTAAACTAACTGTTGCAGATTTCATTGGCCGGTGCCATGTTTTGTTTTGACCACCGCTAGCTCTTTTCCAGCCTGACCCTATATCAGCTAACATTGCCCACTGTCGAGGAAGGCGATGACTAGACATACGTAACACATGTCCTAACCATCTCAGTCGATGTAATTTCACAGCCATGTCGATTGATTTCCCCTCCTTACCTAGAACTCGACGCCTAACCTCAATATTGCTCACCTTATTATACCACTTCACGCTGGAGATAGAACGCAGACACCTATGATCGAAGACAGCTAATCTTTTCATGTCTTCTG